TTGAAATAACCAGTGGCCAAATGACACATGCTGACTATACAAATAAGCCCAAAAATAATGCCAGAGCTTAAAGGCCATCAGAAGCTCTGGATTCTAAAACCTAAAAAACATATTGGTCTATTACTGGCTGATACAAGAGTTGATGAAGAGTTGACAATGTGTTAAACAATGAGAAAGTAAAGATTCTCTGAGCTTCACATTATAGGCTTGACCTACTGGCCTATTTTATATAACGAACATGCTACACTCACTACCACTTGAGTCTATGTATCAGAAACTTTTATAAAACCACAACAAGGCCAAAATATAATTCAATAAAGCCACCAAATGTCACTTTACTTTTAGATCAGCTTACATTTATTAAAAATCAAATTAGTTTTCCCCTTGTCAGATGTAAGAGAGAGACTTCCGGATTACATTTTCATTATTTTCCATTTGACGTTTTTTTCACTTCGATAAACAATACAAACCAATGCTCTGTCATGATGCGTCCTTCTGCGTGGTGAATATAACGTTTGTGCATGCATGAGGACGCAGGCTGATGTGATGCGATTGTGAAAGCATAAGACACAGCGGCCATAACAACACTAGCTCGCATGTGTGTCTCTATGCGCCCCCTCGCTCGCCTGCTCTTCCACTGCTTTTTTCTGCCTCACTACCCACTATCATCTCCTTAAGCACTCTGGCCTGGGTTAAATACAACCTTTAACAGTTCAATGTGCAGCCATTAGCATATGCTCTGCTCTCGAGTCGATGGAAACGCAAACAGTGCGAAGCGATGGGTGCAGGTGACAGAATAAAGTGTGCGATATGGCTTTGATGTGTTGTGAGAGATATTTTGTGTCCACTAAAGACACGGATAATGCATGTAAAGAAAGATCCTCTCAAATATGAACGCAATATTGATGATTTGCTCAAAAATTGAAATATCAATGGCTGCTCTGTACGTATGTATAGTCATAATTGTATAATGCTTAAGTAATATCCTTTATAATTGTAATTATTATTCTGGAACCCTCAATGCAGAGGTTGGGAACCTTTATAGCTGAGAGAGCCAAAAAGGTTGCACACTTTAAATGTATTTCTGTGGGAATAACTGTGAATATGTGTTTTGCTTTTGTTTGTTTTTTAGAGTGAAATATTAGCCCAAAAAATGTTTTATTTTGTGTAATATAGAGCCAGCCACAATCATCAAAAGAGCCACATCTGACCTCTGGATCATTTTGCAGAGTGTAGTATTTATATTATATCATAATTATATTTCCAACTGCAGCCAACTGCTTTTTATTTATTTAAAAACAAATCTGAATTAATCTTGTTTTTGAGTGCTTGCAATAGTGGTATGAATTGGTGATATCCAATTTCTGATTTGTTGATACAAATTAAAGCTTGAAATACTTTTGTTCTCTCCTTTAGTGTGGAAGTTGTAATTATCTCATGAGTGAACAGAAGGGAAACATTTAATGAAATAAATTGACACATATTGTTTTAATGATCCAAATGCATGTGTATTCCCCATTAAGCTTTAAGCAGGAAAGAGTTGAGCCAAAATGCTTAGTAATATTTTGATTACTATTAGTATCAATATTGTGATGTGAGATTAAATTGGTTTGTGAGCATCATGTACCGTGATCAATCATGACGGACACTGGGATTCACAGCTCTAATAAATATGTATTGTGTTCTATCTATTCCAAAATTACAGTTAGCCAATGTAAACAAACCATATACAAGATCAATAAAGTCTATCTTATCTTAAATGCTTCAAGATGGTACAAATATGGCAGTTCATGACAATAGCAATAATATCTGTGTCAGTGCCGACTGATGATGAAATCGAGATAAAAGACAAATGAGTTGAATCTCTGAATGTATGCATCAAAATAATGTTTTGTGTTAAACTGGTCCATGGATCAAGGCTGCCAGCCAGGGTTAAGGCTCGCATAAATATAGCTGTCCCACATTGTGTTGACTGGTGCTGATCCTAATGGGCAACTGAGGGGCTTGGCTTTGTTGGTCCCACTGACTCATTTCTGGCTGCTTTATGTGAAGTGACAGATGTAAACCACTATTTTATGCGGACCTAGGCCATTTACCCAATGGCCTAGACCCGACCTGCTGTGGGTTTGACTGAACCTAATATTGATCAAAACCAGCAAAGTATAGAGAAAACTTACGTACTGCATATAATTTAGCAAGATATAATATTTACATGCCATTTGTAAGCATGCACAATACTTAATCCAACGTGATTCAACAAGAGGGACACTGGTCACATTTCAAACATGAAACTGCATTTCTGCAAATATTCTTTTGACACAGATCAATACTTTATGTTTATAAAATTGGCAGTTGACATCTGAGGGAAAATATGTGAAACCTTTCTCTGGGAAATCCTCATCATCCAAATCCAAACAGCTAAAAATACATTTATGCAGAAAGATATTAAAATGCCAATTGGGGTGCTTTGGCTGTGTATATTATTTACACAGCTTATTAGTGTCCAATTGAGCATGTGTCAGATTTACCCTGCTGGCACGGCTGAGCAAAAACATTATGCCACTTCCCCAGTTTTATCTCTTCATAACTGGCCCTATGTTGTTGGTATTTCATGGCTTTTTCAAGAGCTCTTTAGGGCTCAAGCACCTCTGGAGTGAACTCTTATGCCGATTTTGCGTCCGATTGTTTATTTCCACTTCCTCTACCAGCTTGCAAATGTGTGCAATGGGGTTTGGACTACAGTGAAACCAACATAGCATTACTAAAAATGATAGAACAGGAATAGTAGCACAGGAAAAGAGTAAGTTGATAATGTGAAAAATAAAAACAGCATCCTGTTTGCAGGTACTGGTGCTGAGATATCTCCAGGGTCACCTGAATGAGTGCTCAGTCCAGCACTGCAGCATTCATTACCCATGTCTCCATAGAGACCACCACAGCAGCCTGCACCGGACCAGAGCCCTAAAAGCCTTTATTTCAGGAAGCAACCAGAGGTGCACTATGTTCTCTTCCAATGAATTCCTGTTATTACGGTTAATCTTTTCCAGCTTTATTCATTAAATCACAAGTGCAGTGTACAAAAAATACACTTTGTCCAATCAACAAGGCCTTTTATTCCATGCAGCTTTCAGCAACAATTCTAGGTTGTTTACCAGGGGGATAATCAGCATTACAAGAAAAATGTTAAATAGAAATCTGTCAAAATTCTAACCACAACAGAATACTTGTATGTTTGAAATCAATAATAATAGGTCAGAGGGGAATTAACCCTGACGTAGCCGATGGCTTAGCATCAGCACTGAGAGAAACGAGAAAACCTTAGCATAGCAGCATGCATCACAAGCAGAAGTGGCTACGTTGTCATTCTAAGTTTCCATGCAGAATGTCTGTAGCAGCAAAAGCAGCAGCCATTTTGCAACGCCAAAGAGACTGGAAGAGCCGCGCAGCGAGCTATGGCAAAACAGGCTAACATCAGGGATGTGCACTGGGGGGGGTTTGAAATGGACATGAGCGTGCCCTTGGGGAACGGCCACATTTTCACATACAAAGATCTCAGTTTGGTTTGTTTCTTTTAGACGGTGTCCAACATATTTCTAACAACAGCTTCTATTCAACCTCTCGTCACAAAATGGTTTTCCTTCTTGACATGCTTACTTGACGCATCACCCTGCAATTTTTTGTCCACGCTTATCCTTTGAACCCTGGTCTCATCGCTCTGGATCATTGGAAACCTATAAATGCCCAATTTTCTATCTATCTTCCGTTCCCACACACACACATCCGACCCTCCACCCTATGCAGCCCCCTGTCCTCCCCGCTGCCCCCTCCAACCCACACCCCTGCTACAATCGCTTCGTATAAAGCAACCCAGAAAACAATGCAATGAAATTTAGCGTTGGTGGAATTTACTTTCAGCAATACAAAAAGGAGTGCGTGCTGGTCTGAAGAGATAAGGATATGTCTGTTGTTGTTTTTTCCCTCCCCAATCTAAAATGACTCCATGTCTGCGCTTCTAATATGGCGGCTGAAGAACCATATAAAGCACAGCCAACCTATTTCTTGTGTTTCACTGTAAGATTCTCAATGCAACTGCAATGATCTATGCACAAATATGTTATAGATTCTGTAGTGTGTTTTGATTTAATCTAAAATCAATAACATTTTGCACCTTTAATGTGGTATACAAGGCAAAGAAAATCTGTTGAAAAATCACACATTTGATCTGAGGAAAACAGCTGAGAATCAAAACACCACTATAGTTTGTTATAAATAAATTGTTTCCATTGATTTAAGTGATTTTTCTTGCACTTTAATGCAGATGGACTGAAAGATTAGAGATTAAGGCTAAGAAATGCAGATTACACCAAGTCATCATTTAAATGTCCTAGGACAAAAATCTCACATAATGATGTTTTGATTAACAACAAAATCCAAAAATAACATTGGTTTGTTTGATAACATGGAGAATTAACAAATGGGCTAAAGAAAATGGAGGAAGGCTGAGGCCCTGTGCAGTGCAGTGAATAAACAAGCCTTAATCAGAGCTACTATGAATCCAGTGAATGAGCACCCTGAGGCCTGCAGGATCACTGATCATCATCCAAAACCTTACAAAAGGTTTGTAATATTTTGGTTTCAGTTGCCCTCGTCAATCTACATCACAGTCAGTGCATGTCACTCTGAATGGCTCCATTTTGATTGATAAAGTGAAACATAGTTTCCTCATGGTTGCTGTACACAACATACAGGTGCACAAAGATATTTTGCTATTCTTGTGCTATATGAAGGTTAAGGCAACTGTTACCCCCCTCTCCCCACCCCCTGCAAATCTCTCCAATGCTTCTGTCAGGACATAGCAACAGCCTGTTCCTGCGCGCATCTCAGCACCAGCAGGACCTGCATCTACAGAAAACCTACTTTAAATAATCTGTTTTCTTACATGCCTGAGTGCACTTTAGTAAACGTCAAAAGTGCATTTAACATGTAGCCTACAAACTTACCATTCAGGATGCACTGGAAAAAGATAAGAGCCAATATCCACATGCCCCGCTCCGTTCAAAATCCAATGATGGTGCTTTTTCTCTTCTTCCCTCCTGCACTGTCTTGATAAATTCCCCTTTTTCTTCCCTTATGCGTTTCCTTCCGTTCAAAAATATTTATCAAGAAGTCCAAATGAAAGAAAGAAAGGTAGAAAGAAAGGAGAGCTTGTGAAGTGGCCCCTCTCTCCTTCCCTTTCCTCTCTCTCTCTACACCCAAGGAGATGAAGCGCACGAGCACGAGAGGAGGAGGTCTTCACGGGCTTGTGCGAGCCTCGCCGCCGCTCTGATAGTCTCCCTGTGCAGCGCGCAGTCAGGAACGCACTCCAGGTTCTGAGCGGAGCGACCGCAGCGCACTGGGCCACGGTGCACCCCAGTCCAGGTGAGCTGCTTGTGCTGTCACTGACCCGCGTATCCTCCTGCTGCTGAGTCACAAGCATAGGACAGCCAACTCAACAATCAAAGGAAAAAACAAAATGAAGGAAAAAACCAAAAGCGCGCGCGTAAAAGAGTCATATCAGGTGTGCGTAAAAGGCGTAAAAAGTTGGATTTTTCTATACGGCGTTCTCTTTTCTTGGAGTTGATTGTTAGCTGCACTGGGAAGTCATCCTCTGTTCCCCGTCGCCTCTCTCCGTCCGGCGAGCAACAAGCACACGCATCTTCCCCCCCGAAAGCAGCCGCGCACACACACACACACAGAGAGAGAGACACAGACTGCGCTCAGAACCTGCCCTGCTCTGCACTGCCTGGCGGAACAGAAAAGACCAGCTCTTTCCCTGCAGCCGTGGCTTCCCTCACCCCCTCCTCCTCCTCCCCCTCCTCTCCCTTCCCTCACCCCTCCCTCTCCTTCTCTCCTCTCTCCATCTATCTCTCTCTCCACGACCGTTTTCTTAAAAGGTGCAGCAGGGTGGGGGAGAGGGAAGATAGAATGAGGTCTTTCACAGTACAGATACTTCTTCGATAATCTTTTGTTTTAGTGACCAGTCAAGGAATAGTGCGCAGGAAGCAGAATGCGCAAAAGGAAAGATGGGGAAGTGGGGCACACCTGACCAGATACTATGCAGACAGAAAGGCGGTGAAAAAGGGGGAGGAAAGGATGCTAAATTGTCCTAATTGGAGGACATCAAATCCACTCTTTGAATCCAGGGTAATTTATGAGCCCCCGGGGATGGTTTTTGTTTTGAGGCAGGGGCGGGAGAAGGAGGGGGTCCTGGCATGCATTAGCCTCCTATTTATTAATTGACCTTGACAAATATAAGTAGCAACCCAACCTCCTCCAGTGCACCAGGGGGCATCAAACGCGGCCATGTCAGACTTCAACAAGCTCTCAGTCCCTGCAGGAGTTTCCTGATTATACAGTGTATACAAGGAGAGAAATACATTAAGTATAAATCCCTGGAAACAAAAACGGACTGTGAACACTCCAAGTGGAGAACGATTCAGTGACTATCACAACTAATTTTGTTTTTACAGTATTTGTCAGCTGTTTCATCCATCCATCCTTCCATTTTCTTCCCCTTAATCCAATTCTGGGTCGGGGGGGTGGCAGTCATAGTTAAAGCTGGGGTACCTATGATTTTTAAAACACACCTAATAGAATAATGTAACAAAATCAATTTAACTAGTTCCGAGCTTTCAGAATTGTTAGTTTTCACCAGTGGAGGCGGCCGTCAAGTGCCAAAATGCGCGACTGCTGCAATACACCGGCATGGGGGGACCGATAAGATTATCTAACATATAACATGCATGCGACCTCGAAACGCTACAGGAGGTCCAAGTGGCTTGCCAATACCCATCCACATGCTGGGGGGGACCTAGTTATCGCGTGATTTGAGTCTCGTCAAGGAGCCTCGCTCGAGCAGAGGTTTCAATTCTTGGGGGGACCCAGGCATTGGATGCTCAGTAGCATATTTTGGCCCATAGTTAACGCGGAGTATATAACATTTAAGGTAGGTCACTGTGTGGCCTCAGTACCATCGCTTTTCAATGAAAGAGAACGCACCTCATCGCCTTGCCACGCAGGGGGCTGTGATGGATTACAAACAATAAGTAGGCTTGGTTACTGGCCCATACTGCTTAAGTGCGTGCGATGCCCGTGGATTATCCAGGCACGTGACCTGGAGCCCTTGGGGAGGGTTCCAGGAGGAAAGACAAGACACTTTTGTCTCTCAGCTGGCCTGGGAACGCCTTGGGTTTCCCCCTGATGAGCTGGAAGAAGTGTTTGTGGAGATGGAAGTCTGGGTGTCTCACGATCCGGCAACGAATAAAGTAGAAGCAAAAGGATGGATGGAGTTTATAAGCACTTGCAAAGACCAAACTGCAGTTGGACCATCTTGGTAAAGCTAACAAATGGAGGCCACTGTAGCAATGCACTTATAGACAATGTTTTACTTCTCTGACAATTGAACAAGCTCTGACTACTCGCATGCAGCTTAAAATCTCCCAGTTCCATTTGCATTTTACAGTAAGTTGGAACCAGTTGCCGACAAAACCCTGACACAATGTAAAAGCGCTGATGCTCGGTGACACCTCGGGTTTGGAACAGCCCGTTTAAGGCGAGAGACGGATCGAGAGGAAAGCAGGTTTCCTCCGTGCGCCTGGATACACGGCCTGTCAGCGCCTGTCTGCACCCTGTTCATAGTAACACCATGACAGCAGCCTAAAATAAAACTCATTATTACCTCTGCAGCCACTGGCACACAATAAGAGAGCCTTTCTTCCATGTAAACAACCTGCGCGTGCTATTCGTCTTCTTTAACATAATGACTATAGCATTATTAGATTAACCAGAATTAAAAGCTGGAGATCCTCAATTTCTTTTTATATACTACATTTTGTCTTGTCAAAGTAAAATGCTGTGAACAAATCAGACCACATCATGCAGTGTTCTTATTAGAAAATCTGAGCTGAGCAGGGGGTGGTCCTCCCTTTTTCAATTTCTATTCCATTTAATGGTTTCCTTAACATTTGGTGGATCACTTTTTGTGTCACTATATCTACTTGAAGCATGGAACTGAACTTTACCTCATTGGGGCATCTCGTTCACTTGGTTTTAAGCCCTTTTACCATCAAACCGCAACTCACTCATTTGGTAAAGGCCTATAATTATACAAGTTACAAAAAAACAGCAATTATGTGTGTTATTGTACTCTTACATCTTAAAAAATAAATAAAACAGCCAGCTTTACATTGCTTTTGTCAAGGAGTGAATATTAAAGGGTTAAGATGAGACAGAGACCATGCATGTGAAAACTGATAGAACCAAATGGATTGTATTACTTAGTTACATCGTTTGAGGTTTGAAAGTTAAGTCCCCCAGCTTTAATCTCGAATAGAATCTGACAAATGTGGCTGGCAGCTTTTGGTCTTCCCCAGGACCACTGCAATTGCATTTTCTAAAGTTCATAGAGCAACAAAGGAGTGAATTTAATATAATACATTACACATCATTTTTGGATCAATTGTGAGTTCCTATCACCAACTGCTTTGAGGCAGATAAAATGATTGCCTTATCTCGTTACAAGAGCATTTAATCCTCTTCATAAACCTCTTCCTATTGTTTTGCCAGCTCCACGCCATATGGTACTATTATTATCCACTGCTGTTCTGCGAATAACAGTGTATGCAGAGTTTGGCCACAGACTGGATTACAACACAGGCTGATCCTGAAGAGCCCAATCCCTGCTGCTCTAATCCCTGCTCTGAGGTGGCGATACATATGTCATGAGGTTATGATCAAAACAGATGTTATCCACTTAAATCCTTATGTTATTTAATGGCAAACAGCTCAAGCGGCTGACGTATTTCAGGAACGAATAATGCGCCTCAATGAGCAACTTAAATGGTCTAAACTAATAATAATAGAAACAAGGATTTTCTTAATGATACTGATTACTTCTAGTATTTCTTTCAAGTATGTCAGGATTCTTTAGTAGAGCTGAAACAAGTTAATCGATTAATCACAACTAATCCAATTGTGAACTAATTTAGTGATGATTAACTGATTTTTGAATGTTCCATAGACTTAAACATGCTGAGAGGAGGTTTTATGACTCCGATAGCTCTGTTAAACAACAACCCAAAGTCATCTCTATGTGATTTTCTACATCACTTGAGCGTTGTTTTGGTCAAATGTATAAAAATCCCATCTTCACTGACCTTTCAGGATCTAAAGAACTTTTCAATGAATCAAAAGAATAAACGTCCAACTAATTAATTATCAAACTAACTCACTGTTCTTCAGTCTAATTTCTGCCGTTGTTGTCCACATTCTATACAATATACAGTACATGCAATTTGAGTTTGAATCTTTTTTACATGACCAGGCGTTTATTGCATCTAATGTAGAACGTTTAAGAAGCGAATGTTCCCTTTTGAGGTGTAGTGCTCAGATGAAGTTGTGTTTTTAACTTGAGGTGATTATTTCGACTGTTTGCGACACTACAGTACATTTAGATTGCTGAGCACCTCATTTAAATGTTATGTAGTGTTTGCATATTGAGCAACTGCATTACTGAGACGCACTCTCCTATTAATCTCAATAAGGGGGCCTCGTATTCCCAGGGGCCCACTTTTATAGCTCATATTAACAACGCAGTGCTTTGGTCATACTGTATAAATATATATTTGATAATGCCTTCAAGATTAACACTTCACCTCAATCAATGAGCCATGAGAATATATAGAACAGTCAAATTAGTTATTCAATGGATGAGGTAGAATCAGCGAACGAATATTTATACACACCACCTTTTTATTAAGAGAGACGCTCTTTCTCTGGTTATAAATTGTGCCCGGAGCTGGATACACAATTCAAGTTTAATGAGTGGACATCCATCCATCCATCCATCCATCCATTTTCTGCCCCTTAATCCATTTCTGGGTCGGGGGGGGGCGGCAGTCAGAGCTGCACCCAGTTCACATAGCACATTTTATTCAGCAGACATGGACATGTCTGCTGAATAAAAAAGATGGAGAAAGTGTGTTCCCGTTAGAATCATTGTCTTTTACAATAACAAAAAGTGCAGTGTGTGCAAGTGTAAGGGAATGCATTGGCTTTGCACCTAAAGAACACCTTAGCATTTACAACTGCATTGATTTGAAATGTACAATATTGTGCAAATGAGCAATAGCAGCAGTAATACAACAGCCTGATGTCTGCTTCTAAGAGAAGAGACGTTGTCGTCTGAACTAGTCATGCAGGACTGATCAATCCATTATACAAAAGAGAAAGACACATTTCATTGTCTCTGATGCAGACAGCACTCAAGACGACAGGTGAAACATGGAAAATTAGAATATGCTTCAAAAAGTCATTTATTTCTGTAATTCAACTTAAAGTGTGAAACTCATAAACTATTTATTCATCACATGTTACATGTATGTGCGTTACAAAAGTAAATCAACTTTGGAACAATATTCTAATTTTCACGTTTTAGAACTGTTTTAGAACTGTTTTAGAGCTGCTTTAGAACTGTTTTAGAGCTGTGTTTAGAGCATTGGAGCAGCTCCACATGGCAGAGTGACCCTCTGTTCCCTCTCTCTTGCTTCCTGATAGGGGAGCGACTGGACCGAGCCAACGCTGATGGAGCACCTTCTAGATCTATACATGGATCTCACTCATTAACTGCTGCTTTTCAGGAGTGGACCCTGGGGTCATGCAGAGGTAAACATAAACATAATAATAACGTGGACTTTCAGAACACCATTACAGTTGTGAGATTAATTCTGTGCAGATCTATTTCCAAGTAATCTTTATGTTGTCGAACACTAATTTGCGGCAGTTTTCTGGTTTTCTGATGCCATTTGTGGAAGGGCTGTCGCTCTTTAGTCGTTTAGTGACTTTAGTCAGTCTAAGGAAAGATGCAAATGGAGAAAACACCACAAATGGGAAGTTAAAGAGCAGTTTAAATTAGTATACTTTTAAATTAAGCCATATAACAGAATGTTGTGGCTAAATATTTGCTATAGCAGGAAATTAAAGTGATAGTCTGTAACTCTAAATGAATTACAAATTTTAGGAAATGTGTTAAATTGACCTCCTGGCCTTAAATGTTGATATAAAATAAGTCATTTTATTCATTCTAATATTACAGGTAAGTCCCGCCTTCCCTTCTCGTACCTATAGCTCAGAATCCACGGTGCCGTCCACGTTAACCAATCGAGTCATCCAAGGGCTGTCAATCATCGGCGCTGATGCTCGTAGCTGTGCGCATGCTCAGTTGTTTGTTTTCACGGAGCCTCCGAATCAAGCCTCTCTTAGGCTCTGGAACTACATGAAAACTGAACAAAGAATTCTGAACATCCGCGCTGAGTTACCCATTTATATACTGAACCTATATCCATAATAATTTATATACTGAACCTATATCCATAATAATTTATATACTGAACCTATATCCATAATCATTTATATACTGAACCTATGTCCATAATCATTTATATACTGAACCTATGTCCATAATCATTTATATACTGAACCTATATCCATAATCATTTATATACTGAACCTATATCCATAATCATTTATATACTGAACCTATATCCATAATCATTTATATATCCTCTGCAGATGTGTCCTATAATGCGCAATTCATGATAATAGCACTTGCTGCGATCGCTTTTTTTGTGCATAAAAACATTATTTTTTAAATTATAACGTTAACAAATAATTCTGAAAACCTCCGTGCATGTGTATTAATAATGTATATGTATAATGTGTTCTCTGATTAACATTTGAAAGTGTTACAGAAACGTAGGTGTAGACCAATCAGAAAGGAAGGGGGAGGGAGCTTGCGTCGTTTTTTTCAAATCAAGTATCTCTCTCTCTCTCTTTCTGACAAACTCCAGACAATCACTTTAAAGGTGTGTGAGCACAATAAAGGTCAGATACGTAATAGCTTTGAGAGCTTTTGTCACGCCCACTCTGTCGTCAACCAAACAGCAGATCTTTAGTTGACCAAGTATTTACTAAAGGCCTCATTTGGGGGAATCATTTTCTCAATGTGCTATATATTGCAGAATGTATGTGTTATTGTAATGCAGTACTACCTGCAGGTATAGGTGAAATCCTCCAGCTCCAGTAGTCCTGACCAAGCCGAGCACCAACATCTGGAGATGGGTCCCTGGGCGCAGTACTACGGCGACCACTGCTCTTGGTATAGACGCCCTACTGGCATCAGGATGGGTCAAATGCAGTGGAGGAATTACCCTACAGGGATAAATGAAGGTAAGGAGCACTTTCTCTGCCATAATCACGCCAATAGTTAGTCCTGAACATGATTTGCTTGTCATTATCAAGACATTGGTTTAAATTATACATAGTGAATCCAAACCTTCACTAGGCAAACCTTATAAAGCACACGACACATTCAATCCCTGGACTCTTACACTGATAAGCTCTGAGATAACACTTTGGAGTTCTAGTATACTGGCAACATTCAGTTTGTTTATTTATTCCTACAGAAAAAAATATTGCAAATTGGATGCCTCTATAGAAATGAGGCAAAGATTTCACTCAATTTACTTTGCCAATATATGGTTTTTAAATATCTATTCTCCACATTATTGAGAGGCGTGAAAGCATCAGTCAGCACTCAGCACCACAGTAAACATCTCGAGTTTGACTCCTCTGGGCAGCATTGCTTAGTAACCACAGCACATGGCTGACCTTATCGCGGCGGTCATAAAAATGTATGAGGTCCTTTTATTCATTTTGCTGCTCTGTTGTAATCTCTCAGCTTCACCCGCTCTGCCTCGCTCACATGTACACAAGCTACAAAATGAAGGAAATACCTGATTTGTATACTCGCAAAACTTCTATCTGTAATAGATGCTAAATATTCATGCAATTTTCCCTTACTGTGAAGCTAATAACAACTGCCATGCTAACCGCACAGTTCCCAAATATTACTCCCTTTTGTGAATTTACTACTTTTCCCCTTGTCTACGGTCGTCTTGGACTACGACCTGTCCGAGTGGATCCTGAACTATCTCACAGACAGACCCCAGTTTGTGAGAACCAGGGACTGTGTGTGTGAGGTCCTGACCTGCAGTGTGGGGGCCCCCCAGGGGACTGTCCTCGTGCCGTTCCTCTTCACCCTCTACACTGCGGACTTCAGACACAACACTGACGGTTGTGTCCTCCAGAAGTTCTCCGACGACTCTGCCATCATCGGACTCAGCTCCGAGGATAATGACGCGGAGTACAGAGGAGTTATACAGGACTTTGTGGACTGGTGTCAGCGCAAACCACCTCCTCATCAACGCGGGGAAGACCAAGGAGATGAACCACCTCCTCATCAACGCGGGGAAGACCAAGGAGATGGTGGTGGATTTCTGCAGACGTCACTCGGCCGCTCCAGCTCCAGTGAAAATCCAGGGAAAGGACATTGAGAGAGAGGACTCTTACAAGTACCTGGGTGTTCATCTGAACCACAAACTGGACTGGACTCATAACACAGACGCCCTCTTCAAGAAGGGCCAGAGCCGGCTCTACCTGCTGAGGAGGCTCAGGTCTTTTGGAGTGCAGGGGCCACTCCTGAAGACCTTCTATGACTCTGTGGTGGCATCAGCCATCTTGTAGGGTGTGGTCTGCTGGAACAGCAGCATCACAGAGAGGGACAGGAAGAAGCTGGACAAGGTCATCAGGAAGTCCAGCTCAGTCCTGGGCTGTTCCCTGGACACAGTGCAGCAGGTGGGGGACAGGAGGGTCCTGAGCAAACTAACATCTATGCTGGAGAATGACTGTCGCCCCCTGCAGGACACTCTCTCTGCTCTAGAGAGCAGCTTCAGTGACAGACTTATTCATCCTCGCTGTGTGAAGGAGAGGTTTCGCAGGTCCTTCCTCCCTGCTGCTGTCAGGCTGTACAACGAGAATGTGTAACAAGAACTGCTGAGTCTGTACAAATGTCACTGATAGTTCACTATAGTAACTTGTCACTAGCCACTTTACCTGCTGTTAGTACTACTGCATTATTACATATCCATCTGTTATTCCTGCCATTCACAAGTCACTTTACCTGTTGATATTATTTCTGATATTTTTTCTGTTCATATGCATATTCCCATATTCTCCACTGCTAAAGTACACAGACATCTGTAAATACTTTTGAACCAAGTGCAATTATAGCCCAGAGTTTATTTTATTTTATTCTTATCTTAATTTTATTGTCCATTATCTTAAATAATAGACTATTTGATGTGTGCAATCTGAGTGCTCTTATTTCCTTTCTCTGCTGTAATGTGCGCAACGATGACACTGAAATTTCTCCACTGTGAGACTAATAAAGGTTCATTTTACGTCTTACGTCTAGAGCTAAACTCCTCATGCACAATGTTGCAGGAGAGGTAAGGAAAAACACTTTTGAGACGCAAAGTACCCAGAATGTATCACGATCACTTAATACAGAAATAAAGTTTTTTAAATGCTTGGATATCTTTAACAAAACCATAGAATAGAATAACATGTTTATGAAAATGTGGTTGTTTACACATCGGGCATGAGCCTTACCCTTGTTCCCTGGTGGTAGTAACATCTGCACAGCGGTGTCCTCTGCATGTTCTCGTCACCAAGTGCTCTTGGACTGTTGACAGCCCAGGGCAGGTCACCACAGATGGGACTGGAGGGTGGCAGGTCCTCATAGGGGCTCACATATGGCCTTGGTGTTGGCACTGTGCCCCAGGACATTCTCCTGTATTATACCCTGAGATCCTGCCTGTCAGTGAGCAGGGAGTCGCCTTCTACACCACCTTGTACTCTCCAGGCACGAGATGCTTGATTTGGAGGAGGTGTAATCAGCCAGCACTGGGAAGATTCATGAGAAAGACCAATTAATCTTTGAATGAATGAAGGAATACTTTATTTCGAGTCATGGCAAACAAGAAAATAGAACAACAACAAAATAGAACAAGAAACAATACATGATAGTACACAAATATGAAGCTCTTCGCGAAAATTCACTGTGGTAGACCCGGCCGCTGCTACAAGCCTGCTCATCCTCGACTCATCATACCAGCAACGCCCACATCTAATCAACCAATAACCACCAGGACAGAAAGTTAAAAGCCGGAGACACCCACTTCCCAGCCTTCTGAAGTCCGCAAGCCTCCGCCGCCCCACCTCCTCCGTTTCTCATCGAAGCGTGCTTGCCTACTGCCTCTGCCGCCACCAGTGCCTAGGCCCCGGGGGGGGATTATGCGGGCGAGCAAGCGCCGCGCTCAACAGAATCTCTCCCGGGCCTGGGGCGCCAAACATGCTCAATCAACAAACTTCTAACTGCATTTTCCCTCTTGGGTCTCTCCAAAGTGAAATAGGTTTCTGAACAAAAATCCAGCTCGGAAAGGAGTGGGAAGACTTTTAAACTCCCACCCCTATTTATTATTCTATATTAATTTCACTTTGAGATATGTTTTTCAAGGACTTCCAGCTAAATCTTAGTCCAGTGGCCAGAATTAATAGCAGCTCCAGTCATGGATCTATAAAAAAAAAGCATTTGTGGGAGCAATTTCTTTTGGAAATGTGGACACCTGCAGAGACTATAGCTCTTGCTTGTCTCTGGACCAGCACACCTCACTCACTCCAACCTCTTGTTCATCCATACTCTGCTTAATCCTGAATGGAAGTCCATTCTCGCCTCCCTCCCCCCAGAGTTGAACCAGATGCCCACTGTCTGAGGCATTATGTTCTTAGAGACCCGTTTGCATGACCACTCATTATAACAACACGATCTCAGGGCAACAGGTACCAAGAACCATAAAGGATTTGTATACGCTTATTCTATGTTTCCATTTTAAACACTGAAACACATAATCATTGTACTCTGGCAGAATGATGAAGATCGCATCCCGGTCTGCTCTGTATTTGATAACATATTACTCATCAAGAATTGTAAACTGGAGGAGCAGGACTTCGCTCGCAATAAGGCAATGTGTCAATCACACGGACTCTGGAGAGAGAGTGGTTTGTCACACCCGGAGGGGCCCTCATTGACCTAAATACAAAACACAACCACGGCAACAAAACACAGACGTTTGACTCGGCTTCACCTTAAGAGCACTCCCTAACACTAGCACATGGCCGTGTGAAAGGCATGTGTTGTATTACATTGTGATAAAAGAATAGTTTGTGTGGAAAAGCAGCTACATCTGCCCAGTCTCACCTGGGCCCTGCCTGAGCCTTGGCTGTGTGGAGTTATGAGTCGTCCGGCAGGTGCAGGGATTCTAAAGGACATAGATATCTCAGACAGAGAAATATAAAAGAGATTGTCAGGAATGGATTAAAGTTGATACTTGTCTGTAAAGATGAAATCCTTCGCTGGTTAGGTTGAGTGAGAAGGGGTGCAATGGTGACACCGCGTGGACAGAACGTGTACTGCAGGGCCTGTCTTTGGCTTGGGGGCAGAGGGCCAGGGTCAGTTTAGGCTGGGTAATCACCTTACAAACTGACAACCAATATATTAGTACGTGCATATTATATTTTCATAAGGGCAATACTATCTAATTTTCATCAAGATTAAAATATTGTTTCCATAGTATAATAAAGACGACAGCGCGTGCTCGTGCTCGTGTGTGAACCCTGCGCGTGCTCGGCGGATCCTGCTGATGTGAGGCTCCTCCGCTGCGCACGTTCAGGCCCTGGAGTCTCGTAAAGACTCATCTTGCGCGGCCTGACGTGCGACATCCGACCTCAGACAAGAAAAGGGAAAAAATAAACACACAACTGCCCGGTAACAAGGCCTCCCTCCTCATTGGCTGTTCAACATGTTGCATTGATCATACTCCAGTGCAAATCTGACACATGCGTGTGCGTGACGGGTTCACGGGCAGTGGGACATGTATAAATACCCCTGTGTCACAGTAATCGAGTACGTGCTTCACTTAGAAGGCAGAGCTGAGTAAGGCCAATCCTGTATCTGCTTATGCTTGTTTATCATATTTGGACTGGTGTGTATTTGCATATTTGATAGTCTCAGTGGAGCACCCCCAGCAGACTAGTATATACTTTGGTGGAAACTAATGGTGCTCCTTGTCAAATAACAGATGGGGTCATGGTCAACATCAGGGCTGGACTGGCCATCGGGCGTACCGGGCAATGCCCGAAGGGCCGATGCCCATATTTGGGCCGGTCTGTCTGCCTCATACAAAACACATGTTTGTGAAAAGTGTAAATCCGTTGAGAAATGTTTGAGGGGAGCGCGCGTGTCCGCGGGGCACCTGCTGTATGTACTCGAACGGGATTCCATCGCCTCAGCGGCCGCAGTGTTCCCGCATCCAGCGGCTCTGAGCTGGACGCAGGAACCGCTCACCGGGAGCCGCTCACAACACAACACGGTGAGCGCGTAGCCGCAACGTGACCATGTACCCAAGACCATAAACGCGCACAGGACCATGCGTGTATTTGCGTAATTTGTGCACCCAATAAATACACCGCTGCAAAAAACAGTCCGCGTCTCCCCTCTCCTCAAAATTAAAGCTCGGGTACCTAAATTTTCCATTGCATTAAAAGTTCATGTTTGAGCCCAAAAGTAAAATGTTGTAAACAGATTAAACATATTTAGAGCCAGCAAATGGCTGACAATATGCATTTCAGAAATGTTTACCAATTCTCATCCCTGTAACAAACAATATTGTCTGTGTCCACCTCCCTCACTCTGAGACATGTTTATTACTCTGTTTAATGTAGACTATTGTACTTTATTTTATTGTTAAAACTGGAGCGATCCTGATCCTCTACAGTATTTGCTTCCACATACTGTATAAACCAGGGGTCGGCAACCTTTAGTGCCCCTAAAGTGGCTCCTGGAGCCTTTTCAAAAATGTCTGATAGTGGAGTGTGAGGGCTATATTTTATTTCTAGTTTGAATGTGGTTTCTGTAGGAGGAAAAACGTTCTTAACGTTTTTCAATGCTGCAAAAACTTGTATGGGTAATATTCAATTTTAACTGTATGTGCGCATGGATCCCAAAGATAAAGAGAGTCGATAAGACTGGACTAAGAATGAGAATGAACATTTGCTTTCAGTCAATGAGGAAGGACTGCTTCATGTTTGCGATGTAATGAAAAGTTTTGTTGCAACAGGAGGAACAATGAAGCTTTAAACACCGTTCACTGAAAGATTCATTCATCATAAAGTCAGAGCACCTATTTTCAGACTTCAAAAACCTTCTCAAAGACGGTGAAAGAAAAGGCCATTAAGGACATTCAGCTCCAGAAAACTTCAGCCTGTGATGGATATGAACAGACAGTGATGCAGGTGAACTCGGAGCCAAAAAACAGATTTATTTACTGTATTTGTGCAGTTGCAAGAAGGTTAAACTTAAAGCAGAGTCGTCACGTGGTGCATCATTCTCTCCAGGACACGCTGCAATGAAAATACACATCTGATAATCATGAATGGTTTTTATGTGTTTAGCCTTTACTTTGTCATCTAGATATTAGGCTAATGTAGCTAATATAGCTAATGTAGCTAATACAGCTTCAGCCCCTGTTACCTTCATATAAGCCTTATACAACGCTGTTTTTTTTTTTTTTTTTTTGTCAAATAGGGCTCCTTGAACCTTTTGAGTTGCCTGGGCCGCTAAAAAGGAAAAAATGCCCGGGCCGTTTTTTTGTCCCAGTCCAGCCCTGGTCAACATCCATGCTCTACCAGGACTGCACCTCCTGCAGGACGGCCTCTCTCTGCAGACTGATCCACCCTCAGTGTGGGAAGGAGAGGTTCAGTGAGGTGCAAGGATGTACAATAAACACTGCTAATGTAATAGTAATACCGTGGTAGTTATGTAATAGTACTGTTTATTACTGTAGTAGTAACTTGGCAATGTATTAGTACTAATAGTAATGCAGAAACAGTGTGATAATTTACTTTGGTGACTGTATCTGCTATTTTTTTCAGTGTATTCCATTTGTAGATACAGTTACATTATGCAAATAAGATGTAAGAAATATGTAAATAATTCTCTTACCAAAACATTTTTACCGAGTTCAGATTCTAATGAAGCCTTACATTTAATATCAGTGAGATAAAATACCTTTCTTAAACTAGTCAGTTCCCACTGATGTCTCCTGTCATTGTGGCACTGGGCAAGACACTTAACCCCACTTTGCCTGAAGCCCCCCTGAAAGATCAAGGAGCAAGGCTCCTGTGGACTCACCACCTGCAGGAGGATCAGTGAGGGGCTGGTGCTCTATGTACTGGGTGCAGCTCTGACTGCCACCCCCGACCCAGAAATGGATTACACTATTTCCTTGGGGAACTTAAATCACATACTCTACTTTTAAGCATATACCTATTCCATTTTTTTCACAGCAGTTGATCTTTTCAGACTGCTTCTTTCTCTCTACTGTGCAATACAACATTACAGCAGTGTTTCCAGGTGTTTTGGAGCATGTTACATTTTCCTAAATGTTCTACAGTATGGCATTCAAATGTCGTGTACACATGCTTTTAGAGAAATGACCTCAACAATAGTACTGTGATAACAGATGGAGAGACAAAGGTGACCAACCCACTTCCAAAAAGTTGCATAATATATCAGTAAAATGTCAAATGATTTTCTGTTACCAAAACACTGTAGATAGGCACATCCAACACTCCACAGTAAATATTACTGTTGCTTTTGTCCAGTCGCCAGTGGAGTAAAATGTCCACATACTCTGTGGGATTCTGGAGAACTAATTTGAGGATCTTCACTATGTACAGTATATTTGCCCTACACACCAGGGTTCCTCTAACGCCCACGCCTCATTTAAGAGGCAAAGAAAAGGGTCTGCTCTCAAAAGCAGAGTAAGGAGCAGGGAACACAAGAGCCCTCACGTGAAAAGGCAGCCATTCCAACGAGCGCTTAATTGTGTCATCCGTTAACCCGACAAAGAGGCGTCATACTGTATCACAGCTCTGATAATTGGTACAAACATGCAGCAGATGCAAGCTCAGGGAAGGAGCATCTGCCAATTAGACTGTGCTGATTGGACAGGCAGAGAGGAGCAATAATGCCAGACATACTTAAAATACATCATCACCCTTATTCTTCTGAATGACTCCAAAAAGAGGAAAGAAAAGCAAATTACCAACCACCAAAACAGTTTGGTTAACAACCCAAACGTAATGAATGCAACAAGCCTAAACATTAAATTGTTACTGGAATTATTTGCTTTGTGATTTCTCTTTATTGACAAAATAAATACAACAACTTTGTGAAAAAACATTCTATACAAAAATACATGGAGAGTGATTTTTAATATGATTGCTAAGACAAAAATGATAATCCAATCGCATTCTGGACATTGATTTCAAAGTGCTTGTGTGACTATGATGTGTGTATGGCATTACTTATTCTGTGAAAAAAAAACATCAACCATGAGCACAAAAAGTTGTAAATAATGATAATAAAAAATGTATATATATTCATAGTTACCTGCATTTGTTCATGAACCCAGTCTATAAAATAGGGCACATTGCCATAGACACCCGGTTTGTTTTTCCATGCACATCCAATGCCCCAGCTGGTGTCCCCTACAAGCCACCAAACACCTCCTTGCTTGACCACTAGAGGGCCCCCGCTGTCTCCCTGCAATTGCATTAGAGGCGTTTAGAGGAGTTAGGTTTGTTTATTTGACATCGTAACAATATAAAACAGAACTCTGACGTTTTGATTGTGTTTTGAAACTTGCTGTAGCACTTTTATATGTGTTTGCATATGTACGGCGTGTTATAAATATAATGAATTAAATTTATTATTATTATAAACTAACACAGCGTCATTGATACTATGTCAGCTGCATGTGATCTCACCTGGCAAGAATCCACTCCTCCAGACAGTTTCCCCGCACATATCATAGTTTCTGTGACAGCTCCGTCCAATACCGAGTGGGCGTTACAGGTGCCTCTACTGTAAATGGTCACTTCAGCCTGGTTCAATCTGTCAGGCGATGTTCCTGGGAAATAGTAAAAATTAATAATCAACTCTGTTAGCCATTCAAACATGTTGTACGGTTCTAGCACATTAACTGACCCCGAAGGCTATTTCCTTTAAAGTAGAAAGACCTGGGGTAAAATGTAACTTTGTCAGTGATGGAGACTGCTTTGAGGCTCTAATATATCCTGTTGAAATTTGGATCTAGGAGTTGGCAAATTAAAAAAAGCAGTTTGTACATGGCTTATGTATATGGCTGTTTGGTGTTGAGGATTCTTCTGCCACCACTCCACAGTGTTAGTATTTTATGTTATGTTATGTCCACTTTATCATTATATCTTTCTTTTGTTAGGCAAAAGGGCAAGAGTGGAGGGCTTGGAGGCCATTTTATACCCCAGGAGAGTCCACTGATCGCAAGAATTTTCCTTCAGCATAGCATTCCCCCCCTTTGGCGTTTATTTGGGTTACTACACTTGTATTGAGCTCCTCCTTAGAGCTTGGTGGGTTTTTTGTTTTTCCTTGGTTTAGTCAGGTTGTTTGCTTTAGTTGGTTGCAAATATTTGTTACATTTGTTTTGGATTTTTGTCCAATTACAATTCTTCTGAATTAAATTAGAGATGATTTTACATTGTCTTTGCCTAATGTTTGACCCACTACATTTGTTCTTGGATAATATAGCCTATATTATTAGTATGTTATTTATATTAGTATGTTGTAAACCACATGTTCCCATATCTTAACACTGATACAGGTTTGAATATTGCCATGTATGTATCTTCCATGAATGCATTATCTTTAATTCATGTTTGTCCAAGTTGAGGATACCTGATGACCGCAGAGCTCCCCATCCTGTGATCCAGGCTTGACGCTCTGGTGACAGATCCAAACCAGCGTTGGGCAGACAAACTGGTTTGACTGTGCCTGTGAACGTGCAATATTGTAATGTTCAAACATCATTCACATATTATTCTATTCTAGGCATGATGCAAATAGTTGTGCTTACTTGAAAAGGCAAGAGGGGAACTCAGCTTCAGGAGAGCAATGTCGTTGTCGTTGGTTTCTGGGTTGTAATTTGCATGACTGATGATTTTATCCACAGACTTGGATGGATTGTAAAACGCCATATGAATCAAGCTGACATCACCATACTGTACTTTCCACAAGTACGCTCTGTTATATCTGATAAGACAAAGGAACTATTCAAATCATTCAAACAACAGCTGCTCCTACATATTATAATTGTCTAACACGTGAATTTGATAAGGGCAGGCATTACTTGAACTACATCATAGATTAGACTGAATAGATGATCCACTAATGTATGTCAGAATTTCTGTACATTCTCTACTTGGTAGCTGCAGAAGCGTGTGAGTCCTGATGAGGAGGCTGAGAAGTAAACCTATGCTGAGTATGATATTTCAAAATAAAATAATATAACACAATATAAAGGGTCGTAGAGCTAAACCATTTATATGTAGGGTGTCAAACTCATTTGGGTCAAGACTGATTTGAAAAAATGCTGGCCGGGGGTTGACACTATACAAGAGGTTTTCTAAAGTTACACTGCCTGAGTACTGGATCTACTCCCTCAATGTGAGACTCCCCAAGGTTTCTCACTTTTATCATTTGTTCCTTGCCGATTCAGTGGGTCTAAGGACAGTGGGGAAGATCTGGGACTTTTAAGTAAATGTACGGACATTTATGGACATTGGTCATCTGCCTCTTATGGACTAATGGCTCTATGGGTTTTACATTGTCTTACCCATTTGACATTTCAAAATCAATAAACAAAGTACAGATTGTTGTTGAATTTAAACGTCTCTAGAGGTTTTTGGAAGCTATAATCAGGGACTTATAAGACAGTTTAGTGTTGATTAGATGAATGACATGACCCCCCCAAAGCCACATAGCATTATGGATTTGAGTAATTCACCAATTTGAAAGGAGCTCCTCGTTTACTTTCATTCATCAATTTTGTTGGAGTTCTAGAGATATAAATATGTGAAAGGGCAACAAAATTAGCGTAGAAGTGAGACATTACGATTCAAAGCAGTGTGCCGCAGACAGAATCCACTTGGAGCTGATGATGGAGCCTCCGCATATGTGGCTTCCTCTGATCTGCAGACTGACCTGCCACGGCCACGCCCCGTTCTCCGCCTCAGTGCCCCCCACGATACGGGAGCTGGCCGCCGGTGAACTCACCCCACAGCCTGAACAAGACAACTTCAGTCACCTCCAAAGAAAAAAGTGCTTCAAGGTTTCAATTTGGATAATTATTATAAAGGAAGAGCAAAGGGGATCTTGATAGATTCAGTATATTGTCGCATGGATGGTACAAATTCAAAAGGCTTACCGACACAACTGAGCGCAACAGCTCTAGAGGAACAGGAGTAACTGGAACATACAGTCAACATTTGAACAGAGTAGTATAATATTCCAAAGTATATTAATGTTCCCTATTAGAGCGGCCAAACCTGTGACTGAGACGTGACTGCGCTCGTGATCCAGAGCCATTAGTCGGAGATAATGTCAGATATCCTCCTGAAGCAGAAGAACCTGCATTCGTCCGTGTGAAACTCCCATAATCCTCCCTGTTGGATGACACAAAGAAAAATATGAGACAAACGTTACCTACTTGATACTGTAAGAGTGCAAACATAGAATACACAACAGAGAGTGGCAGCTTGCTCCTTTGACAATTGAGAGTTGACATTTTAATCAAACACAGTGACAGTGACAGGTTAGTCGCACATAAACATCATGACATTTCAGATTTTGCTCATTATTTTGCAAACTGCTTATCATTCTGAGCATTTATTTTTTTAACTTTTACTTCTTGGTCAAAAGTATGGACCAAAAATCTTCCAATGTACGCAGAAATGATTGTTTAACTAATGAAATGAAAGAATTAGAGCAGAGTCATAACCTCTGTTTCAGTCCAAGGCTCAAAAAACAACTCATATTTTGTAATTTTTTTATTTTATTTTATTTTTTATTTTTTGTATGTATTTATGTTTAGGGGTGGGTATGGGTGGTATCTTGTCTATTTGTACTTTTTTCCATGTGTGCTGTTGTAAAATATAAATAAATGTATCAAACAAGATTCATTGATTACTAAATGACTTGACAACCATTTCAATAATCAATTACAAAAAAACAAAAAAACATTCAAGTAGATGTAGTAATAACAGTCACAAGTGTGTGGCAGGATCATGTTGTGACGCCTCCTGACTATTTAGTGCTCATTCATCATCAGACAAATGCAGTATAAGCCCTATTTCCACCAGCTATACTTGGCCCTACTCTACTCTACTCGGCTCTACTCTATCTGGTTGTGTTTCCATTACGCTTTAGTTTCTGGCACCGTATCTTGGCAACCTACCCACAACAGCTCAGTATCCGTTGAACCAAGACCAAGCAGGTTCTAGAAAAGTTCTTGGTACCAGTGGAAATGCTTTCAATGAGGAAGCTGAGTAGAGAAGGGCCAAGTATGACAGGTGGAACTAGAGCTATTCATGTGAAAATAGAAAGAATAGAATATTGTTTAAAAGTCTATTTACTTCTGAAATTCAACTTTAAATGTGAAACCAAAATATGATATAGTCTCATCACACGCAAAGTGAAATATATCATTTTTTGTTATAATGCTGATATGGCTCACAGCTTGTAAAAACCTCAGATAAAACATGGACCGACTGGACTAAAAGCCATTAGAACAACAGCGGCTTGACATCATTTATTTGTATCACTCTTTTAGCTGAATTACAGAAATAAATTCACTTTTTAACAATATTCTAATTTTAGGATTAAGATTAGGAGATTCATTGTTTGTCCCACAGTGGGGAAATTTCAGTGTTGCATCTCTGGTTACAGAACAGAAGGAATGAGGAGCACACAGCACGAGATAATTGAACTAAAATACTAAAATAAAATAAAATCTCTAAGTTTAACCTTTTATGATAAAGAAGCAAGTATACAACCTCGAGCTGTAGCACAGTAAGGACGACATTTCTAAATTTTCCAACTTTAGCATAATGGAAAAGCATAATTGGAAAAAAAAAATGGAAAAAAATGGAAAAAAAGCATAATTTCTTTCTTTAGCATAACAAAGAAGCAAGAATTAGGAATAAAAGCTCTCCTATCATCTCTCTTTGGGGTATGATAATTTCTGTTATGTCTGTATGTATCTTAATTCAGTGTCATTACATGTCCTCTTTTATATCTATTGGTTTGGGCCTAGTATGTACAGCAACGATTACATTTTCATGATAACAATAATAAAGAAGCAAGAATTAAGTATAAAATCTTTGACTTTAACATAATAAGAAGAAATATAATAAAATAGCAAGTGTAATAAACTGTATATTCTATTATAGTATTGAGTTTCACCTACAGTATATTCCTCACCTCTCATAACCCATCTCCTGACACACCGCTCTTCCGTAGTCGTCGTGCCAGTTGTCCGCACACACTGGCAGCCACAATTCTTTGTCTGAGAAGAAACTTTCTAACAGGAAGCGATCGCCTTGTAATCGAACTACAACATAACAATAACATGTCACAAATATCCATGAAGGCGGTTGTCGTGTGTCGAAACTGGGAGAAGAACTTACAACAGTGTCTCTCATCCTCTCCGTCAGAGCAGTCCTTTACGCCATCGCACCACTGTGAGCGGCTCAGACACCTCCCGCCACAAGACTTACCCAGGAAACATTGATAAAACACTGCAGCACAAGACACAGGCACAAGAGGGCTCAAATGAAATGTATCAGAGCGCAAGGGTTGGCACATACGACTGAGCAAACACGTACAGGGCTAGTGAGTCATTCTCTAATCCGTTTTGAGAAAGCCAGAGGAGGATTTCAACTCAGAGGGAACTATCAAATGGTCATAATAAAGATAGATCAAGTAGAAATTAGATAGATAGATAGATAGATAAGGTATTGATCCCCGTAGGAGAAATTCAGGTGTCCAGCGGCAGCAAAAATAAAAAAAATGTGTCTGTTTTGCCAATTACAAACAGCAGAATCAGAATTTATTGTATTGCCATCGTGTGCCTAAGAAATCTTTGGCATATGCTGCTAACAAGAGATATAAACAAAAAGTAAAAGATGGATATAAATGCATGCATACACAATCTTAATACAAATCTAATACATAGGTACACACTATGGACATTTAACAGAAGTCTAAAGTGACAGAAGTCTAAAGTGACAGAAGTCTAAACTGACAGAAGTCTAAAGTGACAGAAGTCTAAAGTGACAGAAGTCTAAAGTGACTATTGTAATTGTTATGAGTGTTCATGAGTCCAACTTTAATCTTTTTTAGAGGAGTCCTGGCTCCAGGTTTTTAGCAATAGCATTAGAGAACCCCGGACTATTATATAGAAGCACTGCAAGAACAACAAACTCAAACTCCACACATACTGATCTTATATTTACATAAAATGTTGAGGCCCCATCGAATAAACTGAACCTATTGACACACCCAACACACGCACACACAACCACGGTCATTTGATACTCTTCATGGAAACTTTGGATCATAATAAAATAACAATTAACAAATAAATAGACCTAATAAAACATACTTCTTGTAGCACAGAGTGTATCGGATGTACTCACAAAAATACCAGAGAAAAAGGGACACTATTGCCACGACTACACCAGCGCACAGTAATCCACATAAGACGTGTTTCCAGTTGTACCTTCTTGTACCTGCCAAAAATCACAAGAAAATTATGATCATACATTACAACCCACAAATGTATAAAGGGGAAGAAAATAGATGGATGGACAATACCTACAACTATACAATGATTATTTAAAAACTGCTTCACTTAATGCAAAAGGTATTCCCAGCATTATTGGGACTAGCACCATGTACGTTTTTGAAAGCTGTGTGTACACTTTTTAGAGAATGCAAAAAGGTTAATGATTGAGAGAAAGTACACATCATCTTCATAATGTTTGACTGTTTGCGGGTGAAGGTTTACTCAACTATTCAGAAGTCTAAGCATCCAATGTCTGAAGAATGTGATAAAAACCTGTGCCTGTACCGGTCTTTTGTGGTAGAAGAACTTCAGGGGCAGTCGTCTGGTGAGTGTTGATGGCGTAAGGATTGGATGGAATATACTGCGGAGCCATGTGAGGGTTAGGGTACAGGCTCTGTTTGGGGACGAAACGAGGGGGTCTTTCGTCGTCATGCCGAAACCCACTGTTGTCATAGACTGGAGGAGCTGTGGCCTGCACGTTCAGACAATAATCAGTGTTGAAATATAGTATAATATAGGCGTAGCTTTGAATCAAGGATTACAACATAGAAAAGAGAATACCCAAAAGAATTCAATAGCAAAAGTCACACTACACAAAATAAATGTTCTTAAGCAATCAATAATATGTGCGCCCCTCTCAACATTGAATTAGTATGAGAAGAATACCTGATTATTATTCATGTCCAAACACTGCTTTGCTCAGATCAAACTGAAATTAAAACATATAAAGTGTATTTAACATCAACAGCTGTTATATTAACTGTGAACACAAAGTTTAATCATAAATGCCGTACCTTAAGTTCCTAAATATAGCTGTAGATCCGGTGCGTGTGTCCTCCTCTGTGTTATCCTGTGTTATGGCGGTTTCATTCCACAATTCCACAATTAGGAGCAAAGGCCACACCTTCCCAACTGTGTACGTAAGCCTGTTGTCCAACACTTCATTTAAGCAGCACTTAAACAAGTCAAACAGCAACCATTGAAACTGCCTGGCATTTTCCAGCCTGTGTGACTAAAGATGAATACTATTATGAAGAATGTGAACTATATGGAACACTGAGCTTTGAGCAGTTTCATTTAAGAGGCATGTAGCATAAAGACATTTGGATTTATCCTCACCTCCTCCGTCACCGTGTGGTTCGCTGGAGCCACAGTCAGGGACAAGCAGAGACTACAGCGCACCGTGCGCTCTGCAGAGAAGGTGATCGGCCGCAGCCTTCCATCGCTGCAGGACCTGTACGAAGCCAGAGCTCGAGTCCGGGCTGGTCGTATCACAGCCGACCCCTGTCACCCTGCACATGGACTGTGCAGTCACTTTAATGCCCTTTACAAAGCCACTTTAATGCCCATCATAGCCTTACTTTACTGCTGTCACCTTATTGTACTGCTCACTACATATTGTGTGCACCAAGTGCACTTGTATATGGTCTATAGTTAATTGTATATTATAATCATTCTAATTTCCATACCTTAGAAGTGTATGCTGATTTTTATTCTTTATCTCTCTTCCTTGACTGTTGCACCGAGAGCCAAAGCAATTTCCTGTGACTTCCTGTTACTTACATGGCAATACAAAATATTCTGATTTATCACAATAATTATGTTTTTCTCCAAATGCTCGTTATAAAACTTTGCAAAATTTACAATGTGAAAAAAAAATATATATTTTGGACATTCATTCAGAAGTTTTAGTTTGTATCTAAAATTGGACCTCTTGTTTAATGAGTAATGACTGAACAAATACCTAAATGGCAAACAAAGGCATGAAAAACATGTGATTTTAAACGGCTCTCAGCTTTCATTAATATTTAACCCATTGGTTAACTATATGCTTTGGGGATGACGTTCATCAGAAACTTGTGTGTGTGTGTGTGTGTGTATAAAATTTTACATACACACCAAACACATTCTAAAAATACTGCAACCTTATAGTATTTATAAACTGTGTGTATAGACAAACTTTGAATACTCAAATTTCAAACTCAAGTCTGATACTAATGAATATTAACACTTGATACCACTGAATTGAACTTTTTTTTAATAACTGGGGGATAAAGTAAACATTTAAAACAGCGGAGACAGAAAGCTGCTGGTGTCCATGTGAATCAACAGTGGTCATGAAGAAAAGGGTTCAAACTAAAATGATACAATAAAAAAATAGATTCACTCACTTCGTTACAATAAACAACCTTTATTACAGGTAGCTACCAGTTCAAAATTATACAAAAGGGGGAGAGTTGAGGGTTTTGAGAAGTACAATTCACTGCTTCGGAGTTTCAAAAAATCTAATATTTAAAGACGACAGGAACTATTTACACCGCAGTGGTTTCAGCTAAAGAAGTACAATCAAAACGTTAAGTACAGTAATCATCAGATGATTAGCCCCCGGACTTTTTAATCTTTCATCATACATATTGGTTTAAACCCCTATAGGGAAATGATAGATCATGATAAATTTCATAAGAAAGTTTGAAACCCAAACGTAGATTAAAAGCGAGGCTTTTGTTTTTATTGTTAGTGCACAACACATTTCAAAAGCAATGGTTTAATATACTAATTAGTTAAATATTAAATATTTATCTAACGAGGAGTGCCACTAGGAGTGTTTAAACCCAAGGCTGTTGACAGTAACAGTCTCCTTCCTTACAGTAACCATCCACTGAGAGTGAGGGTCCAGGTTCAGAGAAGTTTGGTATTGTTCATGGAGCAGAGTTCCTACAGTTTCTGGATGATAATGGATGATGCTCCGCCTCCTCCGTTGCAGATACCAGCCAATCCATACTGTCCAGACTTCAGGTTGTGAACCATGTGGCCAACGATCCTTGCACCAGACATTCTAATGTTAAAGTATATTATTTAATTATGTTGTTTATTTAGAATTGTTAATTAAATGAACGACTCTGGACTCTTACCCAATGGGGTGTCCAAGAGACACTGCTCCTCCGTTGACATTCACTTTTGCAGGATCAATATCCAGCATCTTAATGTTTGCCAGAACGACCACACTGAAGGCCTCATTGATCTCCCACATGGCGATGTCATCTTTCGTCAGTCCAGCAGCGTCCAGAGCCTGGACACAAACACAGGCAGTGTTTCAACTCTCCTTTAAACCTTTATCATTGTTTCTCACCTTGGGTACAGCAAAGGCAGGAGCAATTGGGAAATCAATGGGAGCTACTGCGGCATCAGCAAAAGCTGAAAAAAGAGAAAGGAATAAAAATGAATACATTTTAAAGTATTTATGTGGATATTTACTTTTCAAGATTTCTACACTGCTTAAAACTAATAAATGCAATAGAATATATGATTTAAAATGGAATAATGTTCACAAATGTTGTTTGCAAAACTATATAATGCACCAATCAAATTTATTTTCAACAATTTGTATAAGTACGTATCCATCCCTCCATCCATCCATTTTCTTCCCCTTAAACCATTTCTGGGCAGTGAAGAGTTGCACCCAGTTCACAAGTAAGAAAGATTAAGTAAGTAATCTTTATTCGTATAGCGCATTTCTCAGACCAAAGTCCCTCAAAACGGTTGAGTAATGAATCTGTCAAACATGTGCTTTAAGTACTACTACAGAATGCTACAGAATGTGTTTTAGTGAGAAACGTACACACAACTCTAGCAAGAGGCGTAACGTTCAGCCTCTTTGCAGCATCAGATGTCATCAACACCAGAGCAGCAGCGCCATCATTCAGCGTGCTCGCGTTGGCCGCGGTGACTGTGCCTGAAAAAAAAATTCAGTGACATTTAAGCTGGACAAGCAAACAAGAGATTTCCATTGAACAAAAAAAAGATTATAAACATTCTATACCATTCTCTTTTAGGAAGACTGCCTTCAGTTTGGGGACTTTACTGAAGTCCACTCTCCTCCATTCTTCATCCTCAGACACAACAACATCAGGTTTACCTAGAAACACATACGCAGAAAGGTAACAATACATGAAGTTATAGACATTTATATGAATGGTTAATTTGGGGTTAGGGTTAAAAATGTCTAAATCTTGTTTTGTTTTTTGTGCACCATGCACAAGGGAAAGCAGAAAAAACTGTGGGCAGAGCCATCAGTAAAGAGGATAATCTTTATTTTTAATATGCCTTTCACAGACCAGAGTTACAAAGTTCTTTACAACAGTTGTGGGCATTTATTTCTCACAGAGATGAGAGCGTAGTCACCATACAGGATGTGCATGCCAGACCTATTGTGCATGTTTTTAGTGGTAGGTGAAATCGGAGCACCCGTAGGAAACCTACACAGACACTGGGAAAACCCAGGACCTTCTTGCTGAGAAGTAAGAAGTTTCACTTCCGCGTTCATCCATTTTAGTCAAAACCCTTGGATGAACGCGGAAATGAAACTGAAACTTCATGAGCGTGCGTTGGCATTTCAATCAAATGATACAGTTGCTTATAAGCTATCCTGTTACTCATTGAAATGCTCTACTAAATCTGCAAGGCGCAGTTACGGGGACAGGTTAAAAAGTTATTTTGAGGAAGATGACCCTCGGCGCATGTGGAACGGTATTAAAGCCATCACATTGTGGAAACCTAGTGCTGGGAAAATTGCATCTGTCGGCCAAGCTCTACCAAACGAGCTGAACACGTTCTTCTGTCGCTTTGAATCCGCTGATGCCTGTCCTACTGTATTCCCTGAGTGTTTCAATCAAGTTGCCTTCACCGTGACTCAGGAGGAAGTCAGGCGTGTCTTGTCCAGGACCATAGTCCGGAAAGCCCCAGGCCCGGACGAGAACCCTCCTCGTGTCCTGAAACTGTGCTCTGAGCAACTTGCCCCTGTGCTAACAGACATCTTCAACCTGTCGCTAAGGAACTGTACTGTGCCGAACTGCTTTAAAGAGTCGACCATCATTCTAGTTCCTAAGAAAACTCCTGTGACATGCCTGAATGACAATCGTCCTGTGGCCCTCACGTCTGTTCTTATGAAAACTTTTGAGCGGCTTGTGCTGGACTTCATTAAGAGCCAGATCCCTGTGAGTGTTGACCCGCTCCAGTTTGCTTACAGACAGAACAGGAGTGTGGAGGATGCCATCTCCTTTGCTCTGAACTCTGTCTACAGTCACTTGGACACTAGTAAATCTGTCGCGAGAATGCTTTTCATCGATTCTAGCTCTGCTTTTAACTGCCTTGTCCCAGGTAGATTGATTGAAAAGCTCATGTCTCTCGGTTTAAGTGTTGCCATGTGTAAATGGATGTTTAGCTTTTTAACTGACAGATCTCAGAGAGTGAAAATCAATGAAATGTTTTTCTGATGTTGTTTCTGTGAGCACTGGTTCTCCTCAGGGATGTATTTTGAGTCCTTTACTTTTTACTTTGTACACTCACGATTGTGTGTCCTCCTCTGACTCAAACTTGATAATCAAATATGCTGACGACACCACCATCATCGGTTTCATCAATGACAATGATGAATCCTCTTATAGAGCAGAGATACAAAATGTGGTTCAGTGGAGTAAAACTAACAACCTCCAGTTGAACGCATCGAAAACATGTGAACTGGTCTACGACTTCAGTCACAATAGTTCTCATTTGCCCGTCGTAATCGACAACTCCCAGGTGCAGATCGTAGAAAAGTGCAAGTTTCTGGGTTTAACTCTGTCTAACGACCTGAAATGGGTTAAAAACACTGACCGAGTCGTTAAGAAAGCTCGTCAGCGTCTCTACTTTCTGCGTAAACTTAGAGAATTTACCACTAACTCTAAGATTCTGCTTAACATTTATCGCTGCACCATTGAGAGTTTACTTGTTGGTTCTGTGTCTGTGTGGTTTGGAAACATCACAGATAAAGAAAAGAGAGCTTTAAACAAGGTACTCCGCTCTGCAAAGAGGACCGTGGGCTGTGAGCTTCCTGTTCTGGAGGTTCTTTATGAATCCAGACTTTTAAACAAAGCTCTTAGGATTGTTAATGACTCTTCTGGCCACCCTGGGAAAGCCATGTTCCAGCTTCTTCCCTCTGGCAGAAGATATCGCTCTCTGAGATGCAGGACATCTCGTTACGCTAACAGTTTTTATCCACAAGCTGTTATCAGTTTGAACAGAGCACTTTAATGATTTGCACTTGTTTTGAAACTGTTTTAGTCGATCGATTTCACAGTGACATTTGTTTACTGTTTTATTTGTTTTATTTCTGTCTTTTAATGTTGTTTTATGTCTGTATTTGTCTGTGCACACTGGAGACTTTTTGCTAACGTATTCCAATGTGGTGTTTTTACTGCAAATGGCAAATGAACTGAATCTGAATCTGTAAGAGTGCTATCCACTCAGCCCCACTATACAGACGCAGCACACACACAGACAGGTTAAGAAATTAACCTAAGCAACCATTTATTGTTTAACTAAAAGCTTGTTGTTACCTCTTTGGGGAATGCTAACTGGTACAATCTCTTTAGCCAGAATTCCAGATTCATATGCTGCTTTGCTGCGACTGTAGGAGCCAATCGCAAAGGTGTCTTGCTCTTCTCTAGTGATGTTGTAGTTCTTGGCTGTGTTTTCTGCACAGTTTCCCTACACAAATCAACAGGGGAATTAGCAAAATATGAAAAAGCACATGAACCAAGAAAACAGTGAGACGAGGAAGGATCATCATCATCATCATTAACACGTAGGTCACTTAAATGTATTTTCAGTTGTTAGGAAGGATAACATTAAATTACTAAATTCCAGAGAAATATGTATAATATGTACAAAGATACATCCAATACAAGATGTAAAATGAATAGTAGATGATTACCATATGAAACTTATTGTAGACATCAGTGAGCCCATCCTTGACAATGAGGTCTTCCATCTTCACTCCTCCATAGGCAGGTGCTTCTCTGGCCATGACATAAGGCACGTTGGACATGCTCTCCATGCCTCCAGCCACCATGACGTCCTAACACATTACACACTACTTACTAGCACTAGTAAAATACAATTATATGCAGTTTAAGGTTATCCTTTAAAGTATATACTGCATCTTTGGGTTCATTCAGCAATAAATAAGATGTGAGAAATAATAATGATGTCTGTCGTCTAAAAGGCTATAATATTACCTGGTGTCCACACATGAGACTCTGAGCGGCCATCATGATGGACTTCATCCCAGATGCACAGACTTTGTTGATGGTTGTTGCAGGAGTGCCAAGTGTTAATCCTGAAATGTTTTAATCCAATTAGATTTAGAATGTGAATGGCATATGAAAATAAATAAAAATATAGAGAATACCTGCACCCAGCAGAGCTTGTCTTGTTGGAGCTTGTCCCTCCCCAGCCTGAAGAACATTACCCAGGTAGACTTCCTTTACTTCTTCTGGTGCAATTCCTTCAGTACATAAAAGTTATTTGATCATAATAATAAATAAGTGTGTAAACTCTCAGCCTCTGTGTTACAATAAAAAAAAACAAAAAACCTACCTGCTCGTTCTATAGCCCCTTTTATTGCTACCGAGCCCAGTTTGGTGGCTGGAACAGACGATAAGGAGCTTTTAAAAGAGCCCATTGGTGTGCGCACTGCGCTGACGATGACCACTTCCTAAAATACATACAGAGTACATTCGCACACTTGAATGATAGAATCTAAAACAAATTGTAAACGACTATACGACACTTACATTTAGCGAAGGGCGAGATGAGTAGGTTCTTGCAAGGCAGTTGTGACCCTGCAATAGAGCAACATAATAAATATACATTATCCAGGTCATAGTAAACCCTCTGGGTTTGCCAATGACCTGAGGTTCCTGTTCAAAGTTTCTGGACTTTAATTAGTGTAAATAGGCAAAACATACCAAAATACACACATTTATACAAATACACTATTTTACCATCTTTGTTGGTTTTGTATGTTTGTTTTGTTTGAGTATCCAAGTCCCCCAACTCTTATATTATTTTTGTACATTTTGTGTAATATTAATCCAGATTTTAACATTGTGTTTCAATAATGTTTATAAAATAAATATATGGACCAATGAGATTTGTGTCTGAAATAAAGATGAACAAACCATTTTCCAAATGTTTTAACTCACAATTTATAGCCGTTCTCAGTGTTTCAAGCATGTGCAGCTCGCACAGACAAAATAGCAATATCAGTTCAGAACGAAAATAAAGCAATTCACCCCTTTTATCGTTTGGTTCTGTTTATTCAAGGACAACTCGCACAGGTTAGCTAACCTAGCTACACCAATGTGTGTTGTTGTTAGCATAACAGTTAGCATACTTGTGAATAGCTGTTATAACATTGATTGCGCAGAAAGCAAACTTACCAAGCGTCTGCAAATCTGTGCGCGCATGTTTAAAAGGCCAGAGGTTGACATTGTGCTTAGGGTGGAGGGACGGTTTAGCAAACACGCCTGAAGCTCAGAACCACAGCGTCACCTTCAGCGATCGAGACTCCTCAGCCAATCACAGAGAGAGGTGTGCACTTCCATTACGTCACTTGTCGCGGTGAATTATGGTTAGTGTAGTAGGAACATTTTGCACGTTTTGCGCAGTGCTCAGAGGGCTCTGGTGGTCAATCGGTTCAATGTACGTTATGGATGACGCATGGACAGTTTCATCAGAGACGCAACGATCTGTGAAACATTATCTACATACACTATAACATCCGGGTAATTATATTGGAATAAAATAATTATTCAAACTAATTAAATGCTGGATCCACCAACTTCATCGTCAGAGAATAGCAGACATAAGGACAATTAAAGCCGCAAGCGGCGTCGAACGGCCCTCGCCGCACCACTCGCACCACCCAGCACCAAGCCGTCCCGCATCCAGCCGCCCCACATCAAGCCGCTCTGCACCAAGCCGCCCAGTCCCAAGCCGCCCCGCATCAAGCTGCCCCGCACCACGCCGCCCCGCACCATGCCGCCCCGCACCACGCCGCCCCGCACCAAGCGGATCTGCACCACGCCGCCCCGCACCAAGCCGCAACGCGCCGCTGCACAATGCCCCGCACTACGCCGCACCACACCGTACCACGCAGCACCGCGCAGAGGAGGTGGCACCGCCGTGATGATTTGTTCCTGTAGCCATAGAAGAATGTTAGTTAAATGGTAATGAATATGATGAGTAGAGCTGTTTGGCTCTAAAACTTTGCCTCAGTCTGTAGGGGCCGCTATAACCTGACCTCCCTTTGCACAATCTGAGTGTCTCTATCCATGCCAAATGTGACATGTAAATTTCTCCTCTGTGAGATAAATAAAGCAATCTTATCTTATCTTATCTTATCTTATCTAAACCCTGGAGTTGAACAATGGATTCAAGTTTTGTGCAAATCAGACTTTGTTTGTGCAAACGGGAGCAAAATTAATGTTGTCAAAAAACGGCCAAAAAACACTCACACTTTGTCGCTCCGCTGCTCAAACAATGTTTCACTGATCAAAAATCCCTGAGGTTATTTTGTTGGTACATCTGTTATGATGATGTGGATCGATTTTGAGGCCAATCGGTGAAACGGCCGAGGAGGAGATTTCCAACCGACATGTGTAAAAAGGATCCTGTTTCATTTTTCCATTTTGAAGTGAAATTTACAGGCTTCCTGTTTGTCAAGGAGCGGAGCCATAATAACTTTTATCTCATGTCTTGAGTTGAGGAACATGTGTACCAAATTTCATGGCTCTACAACAAACTTGAGCTCAAACCCCTCCCATACTAAAAAAACCCGTCTGTAGGGGGCGCTAATGAGCCCCCTAGTTCATTTATTCCATTTATTTCAATTTTTATTGCCCTATACCCTAGAGTTTAACATTGGATTCAAGTTTTGGGCAAATCAGACTTTGTTTGTGCAAACAGGAGCAAAATTAATGTTGTCAAAAACGGCCAAAAAACACTCACATTTTGCCGCTCCTCTGCTCAAACAACGTTTCACTGATCAAAAGTCTGTGAAATCAAAATGATGGTACATTGAGATGATGTGGAGCGATTTTGAGGCAAATCGGTGAAACGGCCGAGGAGGAGAAGATTTCCAACCGACATGTATGAAAATTATTGCGGATCATTTTTCCATTTTGCAGTGAAATTTATGGGCTTCCTGTTTGTCAGAGGAGCCATAATAACATTTCGGTCGTATCTTTACTTGAGGAACATGTGTACCAAATTTCATGGCTCTACGACAAACTTGACCTCTGAAACTCCCATTGGCTGTTGTAGGTGGCGCTGTTCTGGCATTTTTTGAGTCCCATAAAAATAAACACCAAAATATCACATTTTTCACCAGGTCTGATGTTTGGGCAAAATTTTACAACTTTTCATGCATGTTCAGGGGGTGAAATTAAGGCTCAAAGTGCAGAATTTGACATCTCTCGAGCAAAAACAATAGGCCCTTTCCCCGTTCGGGGCTCGGGCCTAAATAAACCAAACCAAACCAAGGATTTTTTTTTGACGTCTCGAGCAAAAACAATATAGGTTTCAATGGCACGTGATACATCATTTTAAAGCGTTTGAGTTTACGCACGCAACCGTCACGTCGGGGTGAGTGACGGGCGCGTCACTCACAGCCACCATTTGCATTCACCTTTGTGAAAGCAATAGGCCCTTACCCCGTTCGGGGCTCGGGCCTAAATATACATCCTTTAGTTTTAAAATATTCTCTTCTCCTTGTTTCTCATTGACCTCATTGTAATATCAGCGCATGTGCCCCTTGTTGGTTGCCAGGTGCGTGTTGCTAAGGTCATCTGTTGCTAGGGTAAGTGCATCTTTAAAAAAAGTGTATCATTTGAATCTGTGAAAGACTTTGGCTGCAACAAGAACATATTTTGTTGAACTTCACTCGAGGATTTCTTCCACCAAGAGACATCACTGCTGACCAGTGACACACAAACAGCTGCTGACCACCTGCTGTTACTCAGACACACAATGAAAGTGGCTGACAAAAATACAATCCATGCAGTGGACCTATGGGTCATTGGAAGTTCAACAGGTTAATTAAATGTTCTTGAATACTGATGGCACAAGTTCAATAAAAAAGTTGACTCAGCGTTTTTGAGTGAATGCGTCCCTGTCCTGCAGCCTCCACACAAACATAGACCAACTTTTCTTGACACCTTTAGAATTTGTGAATTCAATTACAGGACGCAAAAACAGAATGTATCCATATTTTAAACATAATTTATCTTACAAAATTTCCCAGATATTTTAAATACTATTTAAAACATTTTGTTCTTTTGCTTCTTTACGAGTAAAGGCTACACCAATTGCCATTAAATGAATCTGTCAATTTGTGCAATAACATGAGGATATGGACAGCTTGCCATTTACCTCAAAGCATTTTATTTAAGTGGCACAGTCAGTGAAACATGCCAATATCATGCCTCTGTTTAGCTGCAGTTCATCCATTGGTAGTTGAAAAAGGAGCGAATGACTCTTCCTCTTTTGTAGTCATATTCCATCTGCATAGATCCAGATGACAAATACAGGTATCCTAAATCATATACACACATGTTATCAAACACAACAGGGTAAACTGGCCGTACAGTAATTGCGAACAAGTAGCACCTCTGTATTCAAAAGCTGCATCAACTCTAGAAAGGGAAAAGTCTCTGTAAATGTATTTTGGGTAGCCGGGATCCATTCGGTTCCTGCGCTCGTTATAGCTGAAAAAAAAAAAAGATTTTTTTTAAAAAAAATAAAACCACAACCAACTTGGAATCTTTTAATATTCCCGTGGTTGAAAGTTTCAAGTATCTGGGCATCTCCATATACCCGGCAGTGAACACTTTAATCAACAATAATTATAATAAAACATTGCATTCTATTACAAACGACCTAAATAGATGGGGCTCACTCCCAATATCCTTTCAATCTCGCCTTTCTATCATAAAAATGAATGTTCTACCGCGCATTAATTTCTTTAACTCCATGCTCCCTTTGGCCCCTCCAAAAGGATATTGGAAAAAACTACATGCCATCATAGGTTCCTACTTATGGAATTGGAAAAAACCAAGAATAAAAACCTCAACATTATACCGGCTTATTTCATCAGGTGGCATTAACCTCCCAAACTTCGAATGGTATTCATGGTGTTTTGCCCTACGTTCACTTTCTCTTTGGTTAAAACCAGACATACTCACATCATGGAAACCAATCGAAGAACAGTTACTTAAGCCCCATGACATGTCATGCTTTTTATACTCTAATATACCACTAAAGATAGTAAAAAACAAATGTGGTCCAATTATCTCTCATCTCATCTCCGTTTGGTATAAAGTCAATAAATTCATGAAAATAAAAAACAATTATTATCAACAATCTCCAATTTTCCATAATTATGCATTGCTAATAGGCAAAAAAATAGCCTCCCTTCTCTCCATGGGAACGCCAAGGGGTCCACACGCTCGGGAAAATAACAGACCAAAACGGACTAAGAGAATTCAAAGACCTGCAGGAAAATCACAAATTACCTGCAACGTCATTTTTTTTTTACTTGCAAATACGAGCAGCGATGCGTGCCCATGGCGTCCCATGGGGATGTCGCTTAGAAAATCATCCCCTCCATACCACTTTGTGTAAGGAAAAAAACAATGGCCTTGTTTCAGATCTCTATATACTTGTCACTAAAGCCTCTTACAAACAATTGCCTATTGAACACTTCTGGAAAACAGAGCTAAAAGATCATTCTGAGTGGAACTGGACAAATATTTGGTCCAATGTATCTCTGTCTTCGAGAAACCCAAACCACCAAATGATCCACTACAAGTTCATTCATAGGGCTTTCTCTATCCTAGGAGATTGCACCTGATGAAACTTAAGGACAATCCTTATTGTGACTTCTGTTCAGACAAGGTCATTGGGACTTTTCTTCACATGGTATGGGAGTGCCCCCAGGTTCACTGTTTTTGGGAAAATGTTGCTGGTGCTCTGTCAAACCTAATGGAAAGAGAATTGCCCTACACTCAGAGGTTACTCTTACTGAATGAGACTTCCAATCTTAAATTAAATATTAATGAACGCCGCCAAATTCTAGCTGGTCTCACAGCTGCTAAAAAGATGATAGCATGTCGATGGAAACTTAGACAAACCCTGAGTGTGGAGCAATGGCTCTCATCATTTAAAGACATTGTCCAGATGGAGCTTTCAGCAGCTCGGATCCACGGCGCCAAAAGCGAAAATATCTCATGTTGGTCAAATCTGTTACATAAAATGCAGCTACTGTGTGAAACTTGATTGCAAATGCTTTGATTGTACGTAATAACTATGAATGTACAGTACATAACGATATGTATTCCAAATACAGTGTAAATGTTACATAACTATATGTATCCAAAGCTATTTCTGTAGATGTCACTGACGGAGGAAATTAGCAAATATGTTTGTTCTGTCTATCACTCTTGACTACCAAGACTTGTGTTGTTTGCTTTTTGCTTTTTGCCTTTTGCTTTTTATTTTTTGTTACCATGCCTGGACAGTAGGGGTGGGACATGGGGGTGTGAGTGAGTGTGTGAGTGTGCAGTATCTAAGTGTGGTATTGTTTTACTGTATCTTTATTTCCTTAAAATTCATATGAACATGTATTGTGCATTTCTGCTCATACTAAAAGACCCATTATCACAAAGGGTGAGGGGGGGAAAAAATATTAAAAAAAAATCTGTGCTGCATATGAAATTGTTATGTAAAACTTATAACCCGCACAACCCAATAAAAATTTGATCACAAAAAAAAAAAAAAAAAAAAAGATTTTTTTTTTTATCCAGATAATAATGTTGGCTATATCAGTCTGTGCACTTGCCTCCAGTACATATTGTTCACAAAATAGAGAGTCTTGCTTGAATAGATCAAATGTACAGCAGCGTCTACCCTTCTGACGTATGAAGGAAAGCCAAGATTTCTAAGGGGTTTGGGGTATCCAGGCTGGATGGTGTGTCTTCTAATTTTCCAGTATACCTTGCCTGTAATTGGAGATTCAATTATTCAAAATGTTTTATTGTTTGGAATAGAAGTTTCAGACATAATCTTAAACACTAATTAGTATTGTTTTTACCTTCAATGGCAATCACTGTGCTGTGTCTACCACTGATCTCATAAACAGCATCAACCTTGTTTATTCCTGGCCAAAGAATCTGGATTTTTCTTATCCTTATGCCATCCCAGAACGACCTTCTTCTCCAATAATAGCTGTAAACGGCGTATAACCACTGAGCAGTGATTCACAAAAATATGCCTTTTGCTTTTTGTTCTTACTTGTCTTTAAAGAAGTACAGAGTGTTGTGAATAGACGAAGCAGCATCCAGAACCAGGTCTGAGCTACATCGATCTGGAACAGGTTCTGGAATTGGGTCGGGCACAGGCTGTGGCATTGGACCAGGATTCACTGTTGGTTCGGGAGCAGTTCCTCTGATACCTCAAATAGAGAGACAGTAGAAGGCCGTGCACGAAAACTATACTCACACATACTCACCATAGAGAGCTTGTATGCCCAGCCTGTCATCCTCTGGAAGGTGGTAACCGTCTGTGACGACATACTGATACGTAGGGAACATCAAGGCGGACTGAACCTGTGAATGAGCCAACCCCAAAGCATGCCCGAATTCATGAGCTGCCACCAAAAACAGATTGGTTCCTGTGGTAAGATATACATGTGTTATTGTTTCACAGTGTCAGCATGAACCATCATCCAAACCAGAACCTGAAGAAGTCAAAGTCCAAATTTCATCTTCATCAAAATGAGTGTCGCCTCCATGACCTTCACCAGGGGAGAAAGCATGTGCCAGTGTTCCATTTGGCCCATCAAAAGGGAAGAAGTCACCGTGTGCTGGAGTGAGAGGCGCAGTGTGTTGAATATTTAGTAAATGAACTTTAATGTTGTAAATACAGCAGTCCTCCATTACATTTGGCTTTAAACATAACCATGAGGTCTGCAGGTCCCGTGTGGATCTGTCTGAACTGTAGAGGAGTAACATCACTGTAGAGCCGAAGAGCTTTGGCCAGAGCACCATCCACCTCGTTCTGGCTCATGGCAGCTGTGTAGTCAGTGACCCTGTGGAGCAAGCACTTCACAAGTATGTTCTCCTCAATGTATGCTCATTCCATTTACCTGTATGTGATCTCTTTCTTATCCCACTTGGGCTGATTATCAAAGTACCCATATCTGGCCACGTCACTAACCCCACATCGACGACGGGACATGACATCCAGGGTTTGAGAGTCAAGCTGCCCTGTGACCCCGATCCCAAAAAACTCCTGCATTTTCCTTAACCCGTCCTCAAAGGAGTCCAAAGAGCTTCGACTGACACTGCCCGGAGCACTCACCCCCACATCAGAGAAGAACCGAGATAGGTAATCCTACAATGCAGTTACTACATATCATCATATTGCTTAAAAAAGTGCACATTTTGTTGAGTTTTACCTGTGCTTTGGCAATATCCTCCTCAGGCAGTGACTCAGTGGAAGAGGTTCCGAAAAATGCCATTATCATCATCATCCAAAGCAATACTCGTAAACTTGCTGCTTCCATGGCTCCTGTGTGCAGTAACATGCTGTACACTTGTGTGGAAGCGCAGCAGTAGCAAATATATCCTGATTGAAAAATCCAATGTAAGCAGAAAAATGAAGAAGTGATTGTGCAACAAAGCATTCCGCCAAGTGTCTGGACAAGTCTATTCGCAAAAACTCTGCATAGAGGGACAGGGTCTAATGAGGTCTGACAGGAAATTACAACGGGTCAAGGAAGAGAACTAATGATGAACTATCTCTGAACAGGACAGTGGGGATAAACACTGAAGTCAACCTAAGTGACCTAAGTTTATTTAACATTTAACATATTAGTTTTAAATAGCAAAGATTCAATAACATATTATTATCAGACTCCTGGCTAGCAATGTCTAACAGTAAAACCAGTACCATTTAGAAATCGACATAAATAAAATAGATGCATACAAACATTCAAGGAGATAACACTTATTTGACGGGGTGCACGTTTCACAATTAGGACTAAATTTGTTTGTCTCTTTTACAAGAGAAAGTCTTGTAAAAGTTTGATTTTATGATAAAATCAGACCACAACATGCTACATTCATCTAACGAGAATATGTTTCTTTTCATACTGGTGAGAAAGAGCCTTCTGAGTCAATATTTGGCTCTTTAGGCCAAGAGCTTTTTTTTACTTTTCCGTCTGAAAATGCTGAGATGTGGCAGACACCAAAAGTGCATGCATGTGAAAGCCATTGATAGAACCAAACGGTTTTGAGAGTGAGGATCTAGTTTTATGGATTATTACTTGGTTACAGTTCTTTTTCTTCGATTCGGCGAATCCCAGAGTGAAACGTCTCACTCTGTTATCAAAGAACCGCGATTATATTAAGTAACCTTGTGTTTTTGTAGCTTGAAAGTCAGGTACCCCAGCAACAACTTTTTACTTCTTCTACTCAAAATACAAGGGAAAATATTACTGTGAACACACTTTTATCTTGACATATCTGAACTGATTTCTTTCTAGGAGATGATTTGTATCTTCATGGAGTTAAGTAAAATGTTTTAATTGTAGAATTTCCTTCAGCAAGCAAATCTGCCCTTACTGTACTTCCTAGTTCGCGCCAAATAACTAAAAATAGAACTTTACATTTACCAAACGCATTACCTCAATAATGACAATAAAAATAGCTTTTTGTATTTTTAAGAACAGCACACCTGATTTTTCAGAATATGTAGATTTCACAATAAGAATATGATTTAACATGCAATTACAGGCCCATACAACCCACTTCCCCTTTTCGAGGACTCTTTCAATCTGCTCGCTGCCCGAACAGATTCATTCTTGAAACCTGAAAAAAACAAATCAATGCTATCCTCTCTCTCACAGCCACAGGTGTACAATAAAAACATGCACTTGAATATTTACCGCTACACTGAAAAGCTGCTGTCACTCTGTCAGTTTTTGCCAGTATAAATTCAAAAAAGATAAAATAAAACACAATACACAATAAAATCTACCGTTGTATATAAATATCATCGTGTTGTTGTTCTATAAGTGTATATACCATATATAGACTGGATGCCCCTGACATCATCTTTTGACAGACGAAAGAACTTTGGGTTTTGGTACTTGTAGGTGGGGTACATGATCGCTTTTCGATCGCGCGAGTGGGCCAGGCCCAGAATGTGACCAATCTCATGGACAGCCACTATAAAAAAAAATTTGCCAGGAACAAGTGGAGGTTTTAATTTTTTTAATGTCATAAAAAATATTGCAGGAGACTAACCACGACGATCAGAAGAAAATGTTTCACTATCGTCAAAATGTATCTGTCCTTTCAATTTGCCCCGTCCGGGCGGAAAAGCATGGGCCAGTACCTTGCCTTTACCATCAAAGTTGTACTTGTCTCCATGTTCTGTTATAAGAAAATTGGTAAAATCACAATTATTTACACTATGATACAACAACAGTGCATCATGGTGGAAAAAAAAGAAGAAGAATCAAACCCCAGAGGCGTTCATATTTGAAACAGTATCTCCCACACCATACTACCCAAATCCAGTCCTTTCAATAACACCCAGGCGTCTATCTATCTACTGTATCTTCATTTACTAAACTGTGCCATCACTTTTCATTGAGGGGATCACTATGGTTTGAAGAAGTAATCTAATCCCATAAGATGTGATTTCTTGTTTGAGGCCTGTCTACATTTCTAGTTATTGAACAGATTGATTTGAGCAATGAAAGGTGAAATATGGTATATATGTTTTTCAATGTCTTTGCAGAAAAGTACATATATGGCATGCTTCGGTTACTTGACTGCCTTGTATCAATTATCTTTTAGTAAAAGTAAAAGCACTTTGAATTGCATTGTTTACAAATTGTGCCATTCAAATAAACGTTGTTTGATTGCCCCCTCCCTCTGATCACTCATGTAAAGGCCTATGAGTTGGGTACCCAATCTGTTGTACTTATCAAATTAATATGCAAATCTTTTCACAAAACATTTTGGTACTGGTGTCCAACTCTTTGAGTGGATTCAAAGTTAAAATTTGGGTTCCACATCCAATTTTACTATTATAAATGAATGGTTTACTTTGCGCCCGTGATCACACAATCTCATGACCTGACCCGCTCCTGGTAAAGTTCCATGAAGTATGTTCTGTGCTGAAATATTATGTAACGATGCAACTATCACCCAATGCATGAGATTTAAGGATAACCCCTCTCCCGTGCTCAATTGTCCAGTGGTTGATGTTTTTGTGTGATTGTGAGCCAGAAGCTTTGTACAGGTGAACATTCCCAAAGTGAGTGTCTGGAGTTCCTTGAGTGCTTAATGAGCATGTGTCTGTGTCTGTTAGTCCCAGCATATATTTTCTGTGCTTTGTGATGTGTGTTCGGTGGATGATCTTATATTGTATTATTACACGGCTCCTCACAGCAGCAGTAGAACGCTACATTGATTTGAATGTAATTTCAAAACGTTATACCGGTCATTATTTCTTGATACACAACCTCTCAAAAAAATAATGACCGCTGAGGTCCTGGTTATTGCTTTTAATTTTTGATATTGAACGATGTGTTGATTTTGAAGTTTATATTTTTTGGAAAGTTATTTGAAGGTTAAAAGGGTATTGTTTTGAAAGAGATATTACAGGTGAGTTATTCCCTTATCTTTCCCGGAGGGGCCAAATAACCTGTAGTGTCAGGATTATGCCAAAGTAGGGTGTATTTGCATGGAGTTAGAAAGGTGTAGGGCTTTCCACCAGGCTGTAAGAGTTGTTGCAATTACAGTGTTTTGGAAGCAATTCTGTTTCTTGAGTGAGGGGCTGAGTGCCCCTCTGAAAGTGATATATTGTAACAAGAAGCTTGCTCTAGTAACTATTTTGCGAGGTATTGTAATTGGTTGGCAATGAAGTATGTCTTTTTTTTTTTTCTAGTAGAACCAATTTTTAAGGAGGGGTGACTGGGATATTTGAGAACAGGAAATTAAGTCGGGAGGATTTTTATACAAGCATGCGTCCGATTAAAGATGATGGTTAATTTGACCATCTTTAAATGTGTGACAACCATGGAACTAAGCCCAGAACATCAAGAACACAGTGTCATACCTTGATAAAATGACTTATTTCATCTACCAACCTTCATTTAATCAATTTTTATCCAAATCCCCCTCTATACAACCCCCTTAGACCTTTACCTGTAAGTAAGAGATTTCTTGTACCACCTGTTTCTTTTCCCAAAGGTTTTATACCGGGAGATTTCATCGGGAACCCCACAGCGAGACTTCTTCATAAGGGCCACAGTGTCTTTGTCCAGAGTCCCGGTGATGTGGAGGCCATAGAACCGTTGCATCTCACTCAGCTTTTGAGTTAGAGCTACAGGTCCTGGCTCCTCTTTCATGTGGAAGAAACTTGTCAAGTAGTTCTGAAACATAAAGACAATGGAAGTCATGCACCAAAATCATGTTTTGGATGTTAACAATGGTACGTACCTTTGCAAAATGTTCATCTTGAACGGTTATCACAGGGGTAGGAGCAGAGTGAACAGCTCCTCTAAGTGTCACCAGAACAAACAGAGTGAGCAAACTTGTACACTTTATGGTTTTTAAAAGAAATGTGTAGCAGAGGGACAGAACCAGCTGTTACATTTGCATACATGGAGTTGCTCTGGGGAGTAGGCGTGTTAAGGAACTTCCAAACAGATATTTTTGAACAACATAGAAACACACCCCCTGAGGTGATAACCTTTAACGTTAGATACACTGAAAGTTTAGCATTTACATATTCACTTATTCTTCCATAGACCCATAGAAAAATACCTTTAAAAGCATTCACACCCAATAAAAACATTGCTTTGCAATTTTGCATTTGTTCCCATTATGGCCATAGACTAAATATCTTATTGGCATTTTATATGAACAACCAACCCAAAGTGTGCTCCTAATAGAGCACCAGTCTTTAAGAAAACACAAGGATTTATCAATGACATTACTTCACTGTCAAAACATGCGCTACAACGACTTGTTGACTTGGTGATTTATTCACCAAGATAATAATTGTAATCAAATCACATCAATGCAGCAGTTCATTTCAGTGATTATAGTACACTTGTGGTCAGTGAGGCCCAAGATGAGTCTTTCTATCCAAACCGTTTGGGCCCGTCCCAATTCTGAGGACACTCGTGTTGTGAGTGCCCTCAACAGAAGAATATTTTCCGTAAGAAATGGGACAAACATACACACACACACGCGCGTACGCACACAGAGACAGCCGGGTGCCGTATGAACCAGCCCGGACTCTGAGAAGCACAGGGACTGGACTCAGAACTAAACATGGGAAGGCTGCATTTCAGATTTATGCAGCTAAAATCCGGAATAATCTCAATGAAAATGTGAGCGAGGCGTCTACTATGACAAGACTGTTCTATTTTCCTGTGCATACAACTGAAGGATTTTATCTCTTTTTTAATGCACTGTGGTTATTATTTTTTTATGTTTTTAATTACCTGTGTGATTTTGAAACTGTGTTAAAAATGGTGATTCTGGTGTTTGCTTTATGTGATGTGGACTGTGAAGCGTTTTGTGTTGCCCTTTTAAAAAACAGTTATTGCACCTTTTAAAAAACAGTCGGTTGCTGAATTACTTAAACTCTCTTTTATTGAGTAATAACTCAAAGCACTTTCTGTCTAGCAAAGTTTCAACTTCAGAATAATCTGTTTTAACTTGAAACAAATTGTCATGGTGTGGATATTGTTTTTTTATTTTTTTTTATTTTTTTTTTTAGTTTCAAGTTTTCTGTGGTTTTGTTTAAGTTTGACTTCCTGTCCTGTTTTCCCCTGTCTTGATGATGTGTTTCACCTGTATCTCTGTGTCTATATGTACCCTGTGCTTCTCCCCCCTTGTTGCTGGTCCATTGTCATGTTCATGTCTTTGTCTGTTCCGTTCCGTGTTCCTTGTGGTTTTGGATTTTGAGTTTGTTTTCATCTGCACTTGTTTTTTCATCATTAAATCATATTTTTTTTTTATTCCTGCTTTTTGAGTGCTCTTCCTTCCTACGTGACACAAATGTCCACACTTGCTAATAAATGTCCACATTTGGAGTTATTTTCCTGTATAACAAAAATGTAGAAGACTGAAGACACTCAAAAACAGCCAAAATAGGAGCTAAACCAGGATTTGACAAGGACTAAACCAGAATTAAACTAGGACTAAACCAGAATTAATCCAGGACTAAACCATGATTAAATCAGGACTAAACCAGGATTAAACCAGGACTAAACCAGGATTAAACCAGGACTAAACCAGGATTAAACCAGGACTAAACCAGAATTAAACCAGGACTAAACCAGGACTTAACCAGAATTAAACCAGGACTAAACCAGAATTAAACCAGGACTAAACCAGAATTAATACAGGACTAAACCATGATTAAATCAGGACTAAACCATGATTAAACCAGGACTACCCCAGGACTAAACCAGGATTAAACCAGGACTCAACAAGCATTAAACTATACAGGAAAACCACGATTAAACCAGGAAATATCCAGGACTTAACCGGGACTAAACCAGAATTTAACCAGGACTGACAATGGGGGACACAGTTCTTGTGAACATATGCCTCCAACCTGAGTTCTCATTCGTTTGTGATTTTACACAAGTACTGCTAACTTGTTCGCTGACACAGAAGTACCAGTTAATTATATAAGTGAGGGGGTCCAGCTCAACATAGTGATATTCAAAATGTCTTTCACGCAGTCATGCAGTGGGTGCAAGTAAATGGAAATGGTCACACACTATCTGCATGTCTCTGTAGGGAGAAAGGTCTGAGTCTGGAGCCACTGGTCACTCTGAGTATATGCGTCTCCTGATGCAGGTAGAAAGAAGAGTCAGCTCTCAGACTTTCGTCAGGCACGTGGGCTCTGTTCCTTGGTAGATTCAATTTCACTTTAACTTACTGTTCTGGATTAAAGTCCAGAAAGCATAGGCTTGTACTTATACTGTCAGTGTACATGTACATATAAGTCCTGTGATAGTTACTCTGTCGCCCCTTTATTACTTTGTTAATCCCCATATGGGAACTTTGTACTCCACATTTCACCCATCTGAAGAAGATGACAAAGTCTGGGATCGTGTCTTTAATTCAGACAGAAGACATGTTTTATTGTTGATGGTAGAACACGAGCACGAACAAAGCATGTCCAATCAGCTTTCGCCGCGATGCCAGTAGCTTGGCCTTCAGATAGACAAAACATCAAGTGGAAAAGTACTGTCTCCTGCAAATGTTAGAATGAGTTTGAACTTTAACCACAGTTATTTCAAAGTATCATGGAATATCCAAACATCCTATCTTCAAATATTGATGCCCGGCTTGGTCAGGACTACAAGAGCTCAAAGATATACTGTATATACAGTGCCTTGCAAAAGTATTCAACCTTTCAACATTTCGCCACATTTCAGGCTTCAAACATAAAGATATAAAATTTAAATTTTTTGTCATGAATCAACAACAAGTGGGACACAATTGTGAAGTGGAACGAAAATGTATTGGATAATTTAAACTTTTTTAACAAATAAAAAAATGCTGATGACCACAACATTTAATGCTTACAAGTGAAACTTAGAAAATTAGATTATTGTGTAAAATGTTCTGTAATTCAACTTCAAATGTGAAACCAATTTATGATATAGACTCTTCACATGCAAAGTGACATTTACCTAGACTTTGCTATCATTTTGATGCTTCTGGATTACAGTCTAATTGTCGGATTTCAATACAGCAGTTTCACGATGTAATGTAAGTTTTGAAATACTGAAGAAAAGTTTTACCTGTATGTATTTTAATATTGGAAATTGGGACACTAACAAAGTCAATATGTTGATTGTACAAATGTGACAAATTTGCATTCTGTTAACTCAAGGTTGGAATTTTAAATAGCTCCAAGCGTAACTGTCTATGTTTTGGAAAATTGTACCATGAAGGTAAACACCCAGCCTCAAGGATTTTTCTGACTGCAGCAGCTTTTGTATATAAGTCCTGATATATTAATTAATTAATTCATAGTCAGAAATTCGAGATTCTGTACTGAATTCTTACCTATTTTTTAGCCTAAAGTTTGTTGTTATTCATTTATCTTGTGTTGTCTGCTTCTCATTCCTGTTCTGTAACCAGTTGGGTTACTCCCCAGGCCATGTGATCCAAGATGGCGCCCTATTCAAATGAATGGCTTGTGCTCAGTAGCGCATGGGACTTCAGAGGCCGAGAGATTAGCTGAACTTGCCTATATTTGGGCATCGTCTGGTCCTCCCGGTTCTACGCAGTGGATTATCTCCCATGATGCGTCTCACCAAATACACGTGTGTGGCTTTCATGCATGTGCACAGAGGGGGTCGGCCGCGCTCTGACCAATCAGAGCTGCTGATCAGAGCAGCGGCAGAGCGGAGCCAGAGCGGGAAGGAAACGAGCAGAATTTGTGGCAGTAAAGTGTGGGTTTAAAGACGCTATACCCGAATGTTTTTCTAAGTAGTTGATAAAAATGCTTATTACTACATACAAGTTGTATTATAACCCGTAATTTAATTGAAAACTTGAGGTAATTGATTCAGCTGTGTAAGAATTAAAAGCAGTGAAAAGTGCTGAGTAGAGTCTTAGCGGGACGCTCGTTCTCCTCTGCTCACAGAACGAGCAGCATACAGCCTGCGTCCTCTAGCCTCTACGGCGCTGCTAAAAACTAGGGCTTCAGCTTCGAAATTCGAATATAATTCTAAAATTAATAATATATATATTTATTTGAACACATATTAGACAGCCCTTACAATTCGAAATATATTCAATAACTGAAAATAAAATAGTTAGCTCCCAAAGGTTTCACCGGGACGTGCTAGGCAGGTAACAGCTAAGCTAGCTAGCCCCCTGGAACTAACTGTACACATACGCATGTTAATGGTTACTTCCGGGTTTTTCGCGATCGCTTTTTGTCACATTAAAATAGTAATTAGGTCATGAAAACGATAACAAGAAATTCTGAAAAAGTCCGTGCATGTGTGTTAAAGAGCGACTAAACACCTGTGCCCAGCCTTACTCCGCCCACATGAACATTTGAAAAGTTTCTTTTAAAAGGGCGTTGCCTGGAAGACTAAGGGACAAGAAGGGGGGCTTAGAGTTGGGCGTGGTCTGGGCTGTGATTGACAGCTCACTTGTCACACTAAAAAAAACAGACAGTTGTCATTGCTGCTTAAAGCAATAGTTTACAGACCAGAAAGTCTCATTCCACCCTTGTTTACACACTAAGATAATTGTAAAGCTACACACCTGAACCTAATCACACTCAATAATCTCAGAATGACTCATGTCATTTAATTTTAATCCACTAGATGGCGCCAAAATACTCCAAACTGCAGCTGGGGCGTGTGTGAGAGTTGGATGGGTTTATATCACTGGCTCTGACAGACTGACGTCACACAAAACAACTGATGTCATAGAGAACTTCAGAGTCAATGGAGAGGCCAGAACCAAATTCAAATGTAGTACCACCAAAAAGGTTGAGAGGGCGCCACACAGCGTTTTTTGGCTCAAAAGTGATATTTTATCTCATTTGAACTAAAATGTCAAACAAATGACAAGGATATGTAGACAGCACTACAATAAACATACTTATGCAGTTTATGAGTTAAAAAAAGTTGATTTGGTGTTTAGTCGCTCTTTAAGGATGTATATGTATACTGTATTGTCCGATTAACATTTAATGGTGTTCTTTGATAGATATGTAGTTGTTTATTGAGCGTGGCTAGCTTCTCTCGTACTTGGGGAGTTATGGCAGTATTTTACACACCTGAATTACAAACAGAGATTGCATTGTCAAAAAATTATCGGTAGAATTACATTCCAGTCAATGGAGTGTTCTACTGCTGCTGTGAGGAGCTGTATAATAAATTATAATTAAATATTAGAATATATTCTAATGTTTTAATGAATAAATTTGGATGCAAAACTAGCAGTATTCTTTTACCTATATATTGTGTTAGCAGTGCGTTGCTTTAGTACCATTTCATCAGTGATTGTTGTACAGCTTACAAGAAGTTGTGCTAATGCTAATTTCAAACTTCCTGCTCTGGACAGAGCAGTTGCATTCGCTTGCTGCTTTTTTAATCTCCTTTAATCATTTTTGCTTAAATTTTTATTCCACAAAACACGGATTACTCCTTTTTACAAACTTCAACACAAGACTTGTGGAATTTACCTAACTCACAGCATGTCGGGAGGACAGGAAAAAAGAACAAAACTTTGCGACGGCTGTTTTTCACTCAAACAGGAGCTAAAACTTCTTCAAGACCGAATGTTTGTGCTTGAATCAGAATTGGGGCTGAACACAACAATACCAGTGAAAGGAAATGGACCAAATGGACAGAACGTAAGTTATGATGATGCTATTTCATTTCCCAAAATCAACAGAGACAATTGTTGGTACACATATGGTGCCAAGCCCAAACAAGGCAAAGCTAATGATAACAAGAGTGTCATAATGCCACAGCAAAAATCTTTAATTACAAGAAACCGCTTTTCACCACTTTTGGAAGATGAATCAGCAGTAGCCTCTCAGTCCCAGTCTCAGTCTCAAATGCAGCTGAGTCGCTCTTTATCGGGGATTCTGCGATAAGACATGTAAACATGCGTAATCTCAAGGTTCACTCAGTACACTCTCAAAGTGGATGAGATAAGGCGGTTGGCTCCGAGGCTTCTGTCTGAGACCGGCGGGGTAAAAAGATTGTTGATCCACGTGGGGGCAGTAGACGTCTATGACAACACAAGTGAAAAGTTGAAACGGGATTACTCTCTCTTATTGGACGACCTTGCTAAAATGGACGCAACAATTGTTATCAGTGGCCCACTACCAAATGTGGACGGGAAGCAAATGAAATTCAGTCGTCTGTATCAGCTAAATACTTTCCTACTCAACGAATGTTCACGCAGAGGACTTGCCTTCATTGAGAATTTTAATCTGTTCTGGAATAGGCATGAGCTTTTTGAAGGGAAAAGGCCAGATCTGAACACTTACGGAGTAAAATTGTTGATGGATAACCTTTCATTTGCCCTGAGATCTCAGCCTGCGCAGCGCGTGCAGCCATCGAAAGGGAGGAAGCCGACTCTAAAAGTCTCTGCACCTCCACCACCTCGAAGGATCTCAACACCACCACCACCTCGAAGGATCTCAACACCTCCACCACCTCGAAGGATCTCAACACCACCACCACCTCGAAGGATCTCAACACCACCACCACCTCGAAGGATCTCAACACCATCACCGCCTCAAAGGATCTCAACACCTCCACTGTCATCAGAAGCAGCTGCATCATCACCAGCAGCAGCTGCATCATCACCAGTAGCAGCACCAGTAGCACGACCACCACCACCAACATCCTCATCCCCAGCCTGCTCCAAAGCAGCCACGCCTTCTTCATCTACAGCGCCTCTGAAGCCCCCATCCTCACCCCAGCCTACAGCAGACAGGCCTGTGCTGGGGTTTCCTCAACCACCTGCCCCTCCATCAAAGACTCCCTCGCCACCTCCCATGGACCTGTCTTGGGTCCCCCCTGCCACGTCCACTCCATCAAGAGAGAATGGGGACACCTCCCTTTGTTTTTCATCCCCGCCTTCACTGTTAGACCTACCTGAACACTCTGCAGGGCTAATAAAATCTGCGATGAAGACTAGTCCTCTCACACCCATATTAGCTAGATCTAGAGTCCTGTCCAACATTCTAAACCACTCCCCATATGTACCTCCAAAACCACCTAGAGTTTCCAATTCACCTACAAAAACCACCACAGCCAGTCCCTCCCCTAACCTCATGACCATTCCACCCCCACTTCCCCCTCGTTCAACACCCAAAACCTCTGCCTCAGCCCACCCCGGCCCTAACCCATCACCAAAAACCCCTCCACCTCCCTGCCCCCCTCGTTCAACACCCAAAAGCCACCCACCTCTCCATCCTCCTCCCCTGCCTTCCCCCTCCCCTCTTTTCTCTAAACACTAGGATGCACAGGGTCGCTGCTTCGCAGCCACTGGCAGTCTAGTTAGAGGAGAGACCCGGCTGGGGCCCTGTCATGAAGCCACCTGTGCCATTCCCTTAGTGATAACACAAAGAATACATTACAGAAAAACATCTGGAGTTAATCAGTCTAATCTGGAAAATCTAATTCTTGTTCCGTGTAAGAATCAGCCGACCACAACCGCTGATACTGAAACTTTGAAACTTGCTACGCTTAATGTCAGATCTCTTTGTAACAAGTCTTTTTTAATCAATAATTTTATTTGTTCTCATAATCTTGATCTTATGTTCATGGCTGAAACTTGGCTTGACCAAAATTCAGGAAATGCAGTTTTAATAGAAGCAGCACCACCAAATTTCAAGTTTGAATCTGAAATACGGGAAAACAAAAAAGGAGGAGGCTTAGCTGCCATTTTTAGAGACCACTTTGTCTCCCATAGAATGTCTCTTGGGAAGTTTTTGTCATTTGAATATGTGTCTTTTAAAATACAACAAAAACAATCTCCTCCAATACTCTTCATTGTCCTATACAAGCCACCGCAGTCATGTCACAGTTTTATTGATAATTTTACCGAGTTGCTTTCAGTTGTATGCACAGATTTTGATAGTTTGGTTATTACAGGTGATTTTAATATTCATGTGGATAATGTTGATGACAGAAATGCAAATGAGCTGAGTTCTGTACTTGAATCCTTTGATCTCACTCAGCACGTGGCCCCACCCACAGCAGAGGGCACACTCTAGATCTGTTAGTTACTAAGGGGCTGAATATTTCAAATGTAAACGTGGTCAATGTTGCTCTTTCGAATCATTTCTGTGTTTTTTTTGACATGTGTTTCAGTAACAAACCACCAGTGGACTCTGCAACTGTTCAAAGAAGGCGCATAAATGAAAATACGAGTGAACTATTTATGGGAATGATAAACTTTGAGAATGCATCGTATTCTACTGTAGATGAACTGTTTAACTCTGTCACCTCTAGTGTTTTGAATGTTCTGGATACCGTTGTCCCTGTGAAGGTTAAAATAGTGAAAAATAAGCAGAAGGCGCCGTGGGCTAAAGCAGACTCAGTCAGGGCACAAAAGAGAAAGTGCCGGAGGGCCGAGCGGAAGTGGTTGATTACGAGATCTTCAAAGATAAGTTGTGCGAGTTTAACCGGGTGCTACGTAGTACGAGAGAAAGGTATTTTTCTGAAATGATTGAAGGCTGCAGCAACAATCTGCGTGTTCTGTTCTCAACAGTTAATAGATTAACAAACCCCCCTGTTCAAATGCCATTAGAGCTTACTTCCAAACGTAAATGCAATGAGTTTGCTAATTTTTTCAATGACAAGGTTCAAGGCATCAAAAACGCCATTGTCTCCAATTCACAGATAACCATCCAACAGCCAGAAAGGCTCTCTGAGCTAACTCACTTTGCACCTGTAAATGATAAAAATGTCCAAGAGATAATCTCCAGTTTGAGCTCCTCCACATGCAGCTTGGATGTACTACCCACTAGATTTCTGAAGTCTGTTCTGAGCAGTCTGTTACCTTCACTCACACAGATAGTAAACATGTCCCTTCATTCTGGAATATTCCCTAAGGCCCTGAAAACTGCAGTCATCAGGCCCCTGCTAAAAAAGAGCAGTCTCGATGCTACGGTACTTAACAACTATCGTCCCATCTCAAATCTGCCATTTACGGGGAAAGTCCTTGAGAAAGTTGTCTACCTACAGCTTACTAGATTTCTTATAATCAACAACTCATTTTTATATGTTTCAGTCCGGCTTTAGACCCCACCACAGCACTGAGACTGCTCTCGTTAAGGTTACAAACGATATCCGGCTGAACACTGAAGCAGGCAAAGTCTCAATCTTAATCTTGTTAGATCTAAGTGCTGCCTTTGACACTGTTGACCATGAGATCCTCTTACAGAGATTAGAGGACTGGGTTGGAGTCGCTGGCACCGCCCTAAGTTGGTTTAGGTCTTACCTTGAGGACAGGAAGTACTTTGTGGAGATTGGAAACTGTGTCTCAGATCATATGGCCCTGACCTGTGGAGTACCACAGGGGTCGATTCTGGGAACTCTTCTGTTCAATCTCTACATGCTGCCGTTAGGTCAGTTAATACGCAGAAACAAAGTTTCCTATCATAACTATGCAGACGTCACTCAGATCTATGTCTCACTGACTGCAGGAGAACATGGACCAGTGGACTCACTCCTTCACTGTATCCAACAGATCAGTGAGTGGATGCAAAACAACTTCCTTCAGCTAAACGCAGACAAAACTGAAATGATTGTCTTTGGTCCCCAGAAACAAAGAGAGAGCGTCATCTGTCACCTACAGTCTCTCTCCCTAAAACCTTCAAACAAGGTCAGACATCTAGGGGTAATACTGGACTCAGACTTAAATTTTAATAGCCACATCAAATCAGTAACATCAGCAGCTTTTTACCATCGAAAAAACATTGCCAGGATCAAAAACATAGTGTCTAAAGCAGACTTGGAGATTCTTATCCATGCATTTGTCTCCAGTAGGTTAGACTACTGCAATGGCCTGCTCACAGGTCTGTCCAAACAGGCTGTAAAACAGCTGCAGTACATTCAAAATGCAGCAGCTCGAGTCCTGACTAGAACCAGGAAGTACGACCACATTAGTCCAGTTCTCAGGTCTCTGCACTGGCTTCCTGTGGCTCAGAGAATAGACTTTAAAACAGCTCTGCTTGTTACAAGTCTCTCCATGGCCTCCCACCAAAATATATTAGTGACATGTTAGTACCATATGAACCAGCCCGGACTCTGAGGAGCACAGGGACTGGACTCCTGTTAGTGCCCAGAGTCAGAACTAAACATGCGGAGGCTGCTTTTCAGATTCATGCTGCTAAAATCTGGAACAGTCTTCCTGAAGATGTGAAACAGGCCTCCTCAATGACAATGTTTAAAACCAGGTTAAAGACAGTTCTGTTTAGCTGTGCATACAACTGAGGGATTTTATTTTATTATATTATATTATATATATATTTATTTATATTTTTGTCTTTCTTTTTAATGTTCTGTGATTATTTATGATTTTAATGCTTTCTTGTTTTGTTCAGCACTTTGAATTGCCTTGTGTATGAATTGTGCTATATAAATAAACTTGCCTTGCCTTGCCTAATGTTAGCATACATTTCAGATCACAAATTGAACTAGATGACTCTGTGTTATGAGAGCGAAGGGGAAATGAGAAGCCATTGAGCGAGTTGGGGGGCGGTGCTAAACCTTCAAACCTTGCAGAAACGGGTATAGCGCCTTTAAAGAAGATTTAAGAAGAAAAAAAAGTTCAGGATGGCAAGGGACACTAAAATCCCCACAAAATCCGATCTTTGTGAAAGCTGTAGGTTCTCTGTCAGCTGAGGTCAAGCTGTTTTAATTTACATTGAGTTCTATGGGACTTTTTTGTGGGTAGCCCTCGTGAATTTAGTCTGCAGTACCACGGGCTGTGCCCATGGGTGGGACAGCTAAAATCTAGTAATACCCTATCCAGTTATTAGTATAGATCCATCGTTACTCCTCAAAGCTTGCATGTCCTCCAGGTATTCTGGGTACACTGCCACTCATTTATTTAACCTTCTAGTCCACAGGCTCATAGAAAGACATTTTCTGCTTCTGAAGGCCAGCAGGACTATGGAGCTCTATACTGTATACTTTATATAAATACTCATGCACACAATGTCACATTTCATTGATTTTATTCTTTAACAACAACTTAACACTGATGATGTGTAACATTCCTCAAAGAACAATTAATTAAATAACTGTTAAAAACACAATAAACAACAAAACTACATCACATCTTAACAAAGTCAACATTCTTTGTATGTCTTTAACTCTAATTTCATACTGTTTTTGAAGTGACTTTCAGGCATTTGAGTGAAAAAGATTGACATTAAATAGGTACAAATACTGGATTTAAATTGTTATTTCCCTTCTCTAGTTGGAGCAGTGCAAGAAGACGTTTCTACTGAAGGATTTGACCATGCGTACAGTCCACAGGCTGTACTGAAACATGTACGGACCACTGTAGATGTATGTGAAATGTATGGGTTTACTGCCGAGGGTTACTCTGAGGGGAACTGTGCCAGAAGTAGCTAGAAATACAGAATCCCACATGTCATATGCTTTATAGTACTGTGTTATAGCTTGGAGAGAGTTTGTCTGACTGTCTCCAAGCCTTTCATTATCTTTGGACACATTTTAATGGGATACACAACCATGCACTGTTCAACTTTACAGTATACAAATATGAATTAAGTGTAAGCCAAAAGACACTTTGGACTACGGATAGAAAATAGCTTGATGCTAAATCTGGTGTAGCCATCTTTTTAATGTAAAGCTGTCCAAGGAATACAAAAAACCGTCATCAATGTTTTGCATTATAGGGCCATAACTGTTTAATTGTGAACCTGGTGTTCTTGGCAACTGGACTCCCATCCAATTACTAACCAGGCACAGTCTTGCCTGGCATTATAGATATGGCAAAGGCGTGTTTTAAAGGCTGTGTGATTGGATGCTTATTACAATTCTAGAACATTATTGAACCTGTCTTTAAAGAAGAGCTTTTTTCCTCTGAGGGTTGAAACAGCGTCCAAGACCAGACTGGAGTCACATGTGATGGGGGGCAGAGGGCCTGGGCCTGGATTAGGTTCTTTGTCTGGGTTTGCCCCTGTGAGGTAAAGCAAAGATTCTCCACAAAAGTAACGCCACCTTTCTTCTATTACAGAAAGTGGTGATCTTACCATAAAGGGACTGGATGCTGTTGACGTCGTCCTGGGGCAGAACAAAGGTGTTTGGGTTTCTGTAGGTGTACTCGGCGAACATGAGCGCATCTTCGTCTAGAGAGTGGTCCAGGCCCAAATTGTGACCGAATTCATGGGCAGCGATCAGAAACAGAACAGTGCCTAGAACAAGATGGAGATATGTAGATTGACATATATTCTTAGCAAAGATTCTGAATGTACATTTCACATATAATAAACCAACCATAAGAACGATAGGTAAAGTATTCATCCTCATCAAAATGGGTGAATACTCCGCTGTCAGGAGAAGGGGAAGAGGCATGAGCCAGTGTTCCACCGGGACCGTCAAAGCTGTCTCTATCTCCATGATCTGTTGATTGCACAAACAAAATAGTTTAAATTGGATACTGTTGGAAATAAATACATTTAATTACCACTTCAATTTCTACAACTTACACCCGCTGCCAAAGGAGATCATGATGTCTGCTGTTCCACTGTGGAGCCTGGTGAACCTCAAGGGTGTGACTTTGGCCCAAACTCCAAGAGCCTTTTCAATAGAATCATCAACTTCTGCTTTAGTCATGTCTGGTGTGTAGTTCTCAATTCTAATTCACGCAAAAGAGTCGTCACCAAACCATCTACTCTTTGTATTGAGTTGAATAATATGTGTACCAAATTTTATGACTCTACAAAACTTGAGGTTGAAAAGAATTTCAACTTCGAGTTGTGTGAGGAGAGGCTTACCTGTATGTAAGTGCATTCTTTTGCCATTTCCGATCATTCCCATAAATTGTATATTTGGCCACGTTATTGTCAGGGACACCGCATCTGGGTTTCTTCATCATGGCCAGAGTGTCAGCATCAAGGTTACCAGTGATCTTCAGTCCCAAGAACCTCTGCATTTCCCTCAGCTTCCTGGTGAGTGGAGTCAGACGTCCTCCGACTGTCGGGCCTGTTTCTTTGTTCATGTTGTAGAACTTCTTGAGAAAATCCTATAAATGACATTTAAAAAACACAAGTATAGTGAAGAACAATAATTTTGTTGTGAGCTATAAAAAGTATTGAATTTTGTTTAGTCTAATTTTTTTGAGAACAGCTTGATAATACATTCTTCAAAACATGTTTATATATACAGAATTCCGAGGGTTCCAATGTTTAATTCCAATGATAAAAGAAGCAGCTGCCATTCCCTGCTCTCGCCTCCCAGTACTAACCATTTTTGACACTGTGAAACAAAATTAGCACAAGATGGTATTGCTACATCTTGTCCATCTGTGGACTGGGTGCAGCTCTGACTGCTGCCGCCCCAACCCAGAAATGGATTGAAGAAGATGGATGAATGGTATTGCTACATTTAATAAAGGCTGCTCAGAAATCCCTCACTGTTCCAAACTTTTATGAAATAAAATAGTTGTAAAAGAAAGACATACCACTGCACGGTCCTGTTCCTGCTGGGTGATGGTGGGCAGTGGCGTGCAGTAGACTGCCGAGGCCACACTCAGTAGTAGCAGTAGGCTCAGGCTGATGGAGCTCATGATTCTGTCTGGATTGTGTCTTTGTGCCAAGGGGCCAGTGCTTTTATAGCTCAGGTGCTGGGGTGTGTTGGGCAACTCCACCATCACTCATGGAGGAATTGCTCCATTTATGGAGACAGAAGGAAATTATTGCTTATACAATCCATCCATCCATCCATTTTCTTCCCCTTAATCCATTTCTGGGTCAGGGGGGTGGCAGTCAGAGCTGCACCCAGTCACAGAGCACCAGCCCCTCACTGATCCTCCTGCAGGTGGTGAGTCCACAGGAGCTGAGATCTTTCAGCGGGGGCTTCAGGCAAAGTGGGGTTAAGTGTCTTGCCCAAGGACACAACAACAGCAGTCATCAGTGGGAGTCGTGAAGTAGGTCTTGTGGTGGGCTCGAACCCACGACCTTCAGGCCTAAAGGCCAGTACCAACTGAGCTACTCTCGATTGCTTATACAATCATTTACAAAAAGATGCAAGGCTTGAAAAAATAAGTGCCTCATTTATATTTTTATTTCAAGTTCAAATACAAAAAAATGTCATAATAAAAACATTGTATATTGACTGAAGTTGGCACAGTATCACTGATCAATAAATCTTCAAGGCACAAAATGGGGACCAAAAAAAGTGACTCAAGCAAAAAACTGGAAAGGACCATGAGGGAAACTTGAAGTGGCAGACTAAGGATCAGACAGGTAAGTGCAAAAGTCAAAAACAGCACAGCAGGTTTTAGCCAATGTAGAAATTCACCACTCCGCAGACGAAACAATCTGGCACCGACAGGCTGTAGAGCTGGGTTCTTGTAGTCTGCAGGTGAACATTGCCTCCAGGTGAGTCCAGCAGGCCCCACCCCTGCCCTCACACACAGGGAAGCACCATTCATGCAGAATAAACTCAGAGTGCTTACAGAAAAACAATACAACATTTTACGAATATAAACATGTATAGAATACGAGTAACATAATGTATAAATATACACGGTACATACATATGCATACACACATCTGTAATGATAAACAAAAAAATCATAATAATTATGAAAAGAGCTCGAGTCAATAAGTTTGTGTTAATGCTGTAGTGAATAGCCATGTTTTAATGCCTGATTTTAACGCATTTAACGTTGGAAAAGTTCTCAGTTGATGCAGATGAGTATTCCACAGAGAAATGTAGCATAGCACTGCTGCCTCATTCTATATGCTACTACAATGCACAAACATAGTATCAGCTGGTGAAATACAAAATGTAACAAAAGTATAATAAATATAAAACTATATTCTAAAGCTAATGTGTGGATTGAAAGAGAACAGTCAATATGAATATGTTCTTTATGACATAATAATACTAAGACATGCAGTCCAAAGGAAATGACTAGTTTATACGACAGAACTCTTTCCTTTTAGCCCCAATAATGATTGCCTAATTTCCGAAAACTATGGATCAAACTGTACCTCTGAAAAAGAGTGGGATTGCAAAAGAAGTGGATGGACAAATTTAATAATTCCACTCTCAATATTCTGACAGACAGTGTTTCTGCAGTAAAACAATAGCAAGGAAACAGACTAGCACTAATGGAGGAAGTCAAATCCCTCAAACTTCAGAACTGGGAAAAGTGTTGGACTGCTGGAAAACTGAGTGGCTCATCTCGAAAAATACAGAAATGACATTATAATCACTGGGAACAAACCACAGCGTCAAAGGTCAAGGGTGAGGAGCCTGATGACTTGGATGCAGAATCTGTGGAGCAATAGGTGACATCATTCTTGTTGTATTTTTTTTTTATTGTGCGATTATCAACTAGTAAACACAAGATTGGACTCCTAAAGCAGGGGTGATTGCTGAAGGACACAGGTATTGATTTAAAAAAACATCTAAAAGGGTGAAGATTGCACTTTATTTATCCCTGTAGGGCAGGTGGCGCCAACTTTTTTCACCCAGAGAGCTACATGCCCGGGATGATAAAGGCAGCTAGCTACTTCTTTAAGTGGCCCCGGGAAAAATGTGGTGATATATTAGTGTGAACGAGTCTGATATTGGGAACAGTCATTCATTATCATCACATATTTGTTACAAGTGACAACGAAAGGGCATTTACAATAACACATAATGAAAATGAATAATACATTCTGAAATATTAGGTATATTATTTGATTTGATGATTTCTAAACCCTTTGGCGAGCTACCTGGAAAGAGGTGGCGAGCTACTGGTGGCTCCCAATCTACAGGTTGGCGACCCCTGCCGTAGGGAAATTCATCCTCTGCCTTTGACCCATCCTGATGCCACTAGGCTTCCGTCAGGAGCAGAATTCGCCGTAGTACAGTGCCTGGGGGCCCGTCACCAGATGTTGAGGCTTGGCTTGGTCAGAAACCGGAGCACCTGGAAGAAACCTACACAGACACGGGGAGAACATGCAGACTCCACCCAGAAAGGCCTTGTTACGACAAAGATCTGAACCCAGGACCTTCTTGCTGAGAAGTGAGAGTACTATCCATAAGCAAAAATCCTGACATTGCAAAGGAAGTTTGTCTGCTGAGAAATAAAACAGAAGCCACAGACAGTAAGCTGCAAAAACGTTATTTAACTAAAGTAAGTAAGTAAGTAAGTAAGTAATGTTTATTTATATACCGCCTTTCACAGAAAAGGGTCACAAAGCGGTTTACAATTGTTATTATTTTTTTGGGCACTTGTCCTCTCACTCCACACAGAGATGGGAGCGGGGTCGCCAGTACAGGAGGCGCATGCCAGATCTATTGTACATATTTTTAGTGGTAGGGGAAACCGGAGTACCCGGAGGAAACCTACGCAGACACGGGGAGAACATGCAAACTCCACTCAGAAAGGCCCTGGTCCGACCAGGATTTGAACCCAGGACCTTCTTGCTGAGAGGCAAGAGTGCTATCCACTCAGCCACCGTGCCGCCCTAAACTAAACAATGACACACCAGAAGAAGCCGAAGTTGTCCCGATGAGGAGCCTGGAGGAGCAGTGGAGACAAGAACAAGACAAGGTAAAACAATGAACACAAATATTGAACTAGAAAGAAATGGCCTCCAGGGGCTTGTTTGTTCAAATTGGTAATCATACATCTTCTTACCTGGAATTTGGCAGTTATTACCTAAGGGTTCAGTATTGGGACATTTTCTGTTCCTATTGTTTAAAAAGTTTCCACACTTTTCAAATGTATGCTTTTCATGGATGTCACATATTATGAAGCCATGAATACGTTGAAATAATGGTTTGTGTCCTTACAAGCCGTCTTTAAATCTAGGCAAAACAAATATAATGGTTTTTGGAAACTATAAAGACCTCCCTGAGGTAAACGTGAAAACATTTAATTTACATTTCTGGGTGTGATACTAGATGCCAGAATCTGCTGGAATGATGAAGATCACAATGATCACTAGGTAGGGATGCATTGATACCGATACTGGTGATCCCCCAAAGTCGGCAGCGAGAAAGTAAGATACACCGTCAAGCAAGCTACCGGCAAGCGGGCTGGCAGCGAGCAGATAGAGTGACAAGAGTAAAGCAGACTGTACGTTGTGTGAGGAAAAACTGTCATGAGGTGGGTCCAAAACAAACACGTATAACACCAGCAACTTGATAAAACTCACCACCACACAGAGTAACGTTTGCTAGCACCGGAGCTCTTTTTATATAAAATTGTAATGAGTGGAATATGACAGTGGCTCTAATTGTTGACTGTTAAAACAATTGCTAAAATTTTGAATTGTTAAAGCATTGTCTTATTGTTGAAATGAGTAATAAAACATTTTAGATTTCAGTTGTATTAGTTTTATGAATTCCCAGGGATAACACAGTGCAGTACTTTTATTGGTATTCGGTCTCGACATGTTAAGGTACAAGGTTTTGAAAAAAGTGGTATCTGTGCATCCTTATTACTATGTATCCAAAAAAGAAGCCTGCACACCTTATACAATACTTCCATATTTGAACAAGTGTGGTTCAGAAAACAAGATGATGCATGTTATTTAGGACAGAAATTATGTGTATAACAGTCATCCATCCATTTTCTACCCTTTAGTCCATTTCTGGGTCAGGGGGGTGGCAAAAGTCTCATAGCACCAGCCCCTCACTGACCCTCTGCAGGTGGTGAGTCCACAGGAGGACGGCTGCTCTCTGAGTGTGAGCATAGCCTTGATCTTTCAGTAGAGGCTTTGGGCAAAGTGGGGTTAAGTGTCTTGCCCAAGGACACAACGACAGCAGTTATCAGAGGGAGTCGGTGGAGAAGGTGTAGAGATGGGAATTGAACCCACGAACTTCTGGCCTGAAGGCCAATGCTCTACTAACTGAGTTACTGTCGCCCACAATTTCTTGTCCTATAATCTAAAATCTGCAGTAACTTAAAAAAAAAAAAAAAAGAACAGTGAGCACTGTTAGGAATTAACAGAATTGTGCGATTGTTACTTAGTTTTTTTTGTCCTATAATCTAAAACTAAGTAACAATCACACAATTCTGTTAATTCCTAACAGTACTCACTGTTCTTTTTACTCGACCCAAGCTTTGGACAGTGGGTTGGCACGTGGGTTTTGAAAACCCTAAAATATCTGTTAAACTGAAATATGTTTGGTGAAGTGTTTTTTTTTTTTCCCCAAGGAGCTGTGGTTCTATGTCACTGGTTTTGGCTTGGTGTAGGTTCCCCGTTTTGTATTTTTTGTAGTGCGGTCTGCTGGGCCAGCGGCGTTCTACTCCTATCTAGTTGACAACTCTTCCCTTTATTTTACCACTTTCCTGCATTGTAGCCTCAGCTCCCCAAGTTTTAAACTGGTCTGATCCAGATTGTATACCTTTTACCCTTTCTGCAAAATGCATTAAAATTGTATTTGTATGTTATGAGCAAACTGAAAAACACTGAATGAAATAATGACAAACAGTTAAGTGATGCTCCCGATTTCATTTTCTCTATCAAATCTGTGTGCTGCTAATTTAAATATAAAGTGGCCCTCTATTATCAATCTGTCAGATATACAAATACCAATGCACAAATGTCAGAAATAATATGTTTTATTGTATTCATTCTTCATTATTAGTTTGACAACATTGACAATGAAAGTCACAAGTATAACACTGATGTAACAGTCCTTGTAAATTTTCTCCTCTTTGTGAGATAAATAAAGAATATCTTATCTTATCTCAAAGAACACTTAAATAACAGTTTAAAAAAAGAAATACTTCACACATATGATTAAATTAAGGTGCCTCAGGAAAATAAATCAAAACATATTTGTGCAAACACTAAACGTACAGTCATTTTCCTTCATAGTCCAACTTGTGGCCGGCCTAGTAGTTGGTGCAGCGCAGGAAGTAGTCGTTCCCGAGCATACGGAACAGATGTCCACTCTGAAGGCTGTACTCAAACATGTACGGACCGCTGTAGATGTATGTGAAACCTGCACAACATCCCACTCAGTTAGTGTTCATAATGACAAACATTTCTGCTGCAGAAACACATTTTATGTCTACAACATGCATAAGTCGACATCAATATGAATGACATTGTACTGTTCTGCTGTAGGTTAATACATTATTCTCACCTCTGTTTTGGAAGGCTGCAGTAACTTTGCTGGTCAGACCCGAAAACTTCTCATCCACATATTTAGGATATCCCTGGTCCATTCTTTTATTGATCTCATCGTAACTTCAAAAACATACAAATACATGCTAAGGATAATGTAATCTTGGTTCACAGTCGCTAACAATCAAATGCAATTGTTACCTGTAATACTGATCTCCCACAAAGAACAGTGTCTTGCGGGTCCTCACATCATACATAGCTGCATCAATTTTCTTCACTGTTTTAGGAAGTCCAATGCTGGAAATGGACATTGGGTAACCTGGTTGAAGTTCATAGGCGCTGAAAGCCCAGACCTGACGATCTGTACACGAGTAGAAGAGTAATTTAGTAATAGCAATATACCACTTGATACTTATTAGCAAGTTCAGCATACTGTACCTTTGAAGAGGTACAGCCGGTCTGCGTTCAGGCTTTCATAGGCAGCGTCAACGCTGGCCGGACCATCAGGCCAGAAGCTGCTGATGAGGGACTGCTGAGGGCGGTTACTCTGAGGGTAGCTACGCCAGAAGAAGCTAGAAATAGGAAACAGATCCCATTATTGATCTATTGTGCTTTATAGTATAACTGCCAGAGCCATATGCTAAACTTAGTCTCTTGCAATGTTATAACAACATTGTACCTGTCTTTGAAGAAGAGCATTTCTCCTCTGAGATTAGCAACAGCGTCCAAGACCAGACTGGAGTCACATGAGTCAGGAGTGGTGGGGGGCGGAGGGCCTGGATTAGGATCTTTGTCTGGGTTTGGCCCTGTGAGGTAAAGCAAAGCTAGTTTCAGTAGTTAGAAAATAATGCCATCTTTCTTCTATTACAGAAAGTGGTGATCTTACCATAAAGGGACTGGATACCGTTGACGTCGTCCTGGGGCAGAACAAAGGTGTTTGGGTTGCTGTAGGTGTAGGTGGGGTACATGAGTGCCCCTGGGTCATTAGAATGGGACAAGCCCAAAGAATGACCAAACTCATGAGCAGCCACCATGAACAGAACATAACCTGAAACAAAAGATGGAGAGGAGATGTAAATATATATGTTTATTTATTATATTTGTATAGCAAGGATTCTGAATGTACAGCTGCCATTATAAAAAATAAACTAACCAGAAGTTGAACGATAGGTAAAGTTTTCATCATCGTCAAAATGTGCGTCTCCTCCAATGCCAGTAGAAGGAGCAAAAGCATGGGCTAGTGTTCCATCAGGACCATCAAAGGGGTAGAAGTCTCCATGGTCTATTGGTTGAATGAACAAAATAGTTACAAAACAATGTAGATGTATAGTGTAGTGTAGAGCATTTATTTCTACATAAATATCCTAAACTTACCCCCGCTGCCAAAGGAGATCATGATGTCTGCTGTTCCACTGTGGAGCCTGGTGAACCTCAAGGGTGTGACTTTGGCCCAAACTCCAAGAGCCTTTTCAATAGAATCATCGACTTCTGCTTTAGGCATGTCTGGTGTGTAGTTCTCAATTCTAATTCAAGTAAAAAAGAGTCACTAGACCATCTTTAAGAGCCCGACTGGTGGAGTTGTGTGAGGAGAGGCTTACCTGTATGTAAGTGCATTCTTTTGCCATTTATTCCCAAAAAGTGTATAGCTGCCAACTTGGTCGTCAGGGACACCGCATCGGGGTTTCTTCATCATGGCCAGAGTGTCAGCATCGAGGTTACCAGTGATCTTCAGTCCCAAGAACTTCTGCATTTCCCTCAGCTTCCTGGTGAGTGGATTCAGGCCTCGTCTGACCGTCGGGCCTGTTTCCTCTGTCAAGTTGTAGAACTTCTTGAGATAATCCTATAAATGACAAAGATATCCAAAGATAAGTATTTATGATTAAACTAATATTTTACTTTTAGAATAGTTTGGCAAGAATTTCTTCAAAACTTGTTTGTATACTCTTAGGTTAGGTTTGTTTTATTCTTTTCAGTATCAAGTAATACAATTTTTATTTTTTTTAAATTTATTCAAACATTTCCATGATCAGAAAGGAGCAGATAGAAGTATATAATTCTTAAATGTTTCTGCCCCCTCTTTTACAAAACAGAATTAGATGGTTTTGCTGCTGATTCCTCTGCCTGCTTCATCAGCACATACAATATATACTGTACACATTTCATAATAAACATAACACATACACACAATAAGCATCACTTTTGTAGATTTTGATTTGTTTCCTCTTATAAGTGTTTCCCAGATCTAATAATAATAATCCCAGCCTCAAACAGACCCTGCTGAACCTTCGAGGCCAGACCAGATCAGACATGCAGAATGTGGTATTGCTACATTTAATAAAGGCTGCTCAGAAATCCCTCACTATTCCAAACTTTTATGAAATAAAATAGTTGTAAAAGAAAGACATACCACTGCAAGGTCCTGTTCCTGCTGGGTGATGGTGGGCAGTGGCGTGCAGTAGACTGCCGAGGCCACACTCAGTAGCAGCAGTAGGCTCAGGCTGATGGAGCTCATGATTCTGTCTGGATTGTGTCTTTGTGCCAAGGGGCCAGTGCTTTTATAGCTCAGGTTCTGGGGTATGTTGGGCAACTCCACCGTCACTCATGGAGGAAATGCTCCTTTTATGGAGACAGGAGGAAATAATATGTGTGATTGCTCATACAATCATAAAAAAAGGCAAAGCAGCTAGTTCAAACAAAAAAGATCGATATTTCTATTTTTTGCATTCAATTATTGAAATCCCCAACTTTAAACTTGTACATAGTGTCATTTGTCTGAAATTTCAGGGTTACTCTTAATCCTAATGTAAATCCAGATGTGTGTTTTTTTTATGTTGGCATCTTGACACAGATGAAAAAAATCTCAATAATCCCTGTCATTATTACTACAATGCATCAACATACACGGTGTATACAAAAGGTAACAAATACAATACAATACAAAAGGTCACAAAAATATAATGGTGACACTAAGTACTTATTTTATTTTTATAAATATTGTGTCCAAGTACTATTGTAATTTTACTCTTTGTACAGTTTTCAGTGACTAAACCTAGTCATACAGTTTTTCACAGAGCACATTTGGGAAAAGTGCCACGGCTGCGAACAGAGACATGCCTGTTCACGTCCGAATATACAATGCCAGGATTTTACACTATTCAAAGGCACTATAAATGATTAAAATGATTAAGCCATATTACCGAAATTCTCGTGTCATAGACCAAAACTTGGATCACTTTTGAGTCATTATAGAATATTTTACTCACCTTTTAAAGAAATCTAAATATCAATTATCATCTGCAGCGTATAAAATAATTGTGACTATTCATGCTACAGATTCTCGCCGATTCACAAGTAGTTATTTTCCACTCAGATATGTTTGCTAAATGACACACATGTTTTACAGTGTTACAAAAAGGTACAATTTAGATTTGCTGTTGCCTAAGAGCGGACAAATTTCTGACGTAATGATTTGGTCAGTTAACTTCCCCCATTCCATACACCGCTCGCAACTGTACAGTAAACTGAGTCACACAGAGGCAACACAAACAATACTTTAAAAACATTACATTTACGTGACACAAAATCCTTATGATACAGACGTAACAATCAACAGGATATGTTCGCATCTCGTTCTCTTATTCATCAAAGTCTCATTTAATGTGTTAAAACGAGTCAGGTCCCTGTGGTGGCGTCTTGTTGTGAGTGTCCCCGGTGCACTCCAGCAGCTCATTGGCCGGGCCGGTGCTGACCACGCGTTTGGAGACAGAGTTGTATGTGTAGTGCACGTTCCCCTTGAAAAAGTGGACAAAGTCTGTTGGGAAACAAAGATAATGTATATACTGTAAATTATTGTTTTGTGTTTTCATGAAGTAAGGAAAGTTCTAGATCAGGATGAACTATGGCTGTATACAGTAATTCTATTCAAGATAAGACAAGAGAGCCTTTGTTCGTCCCACTGTGGGGAGAGAGCACATTTTGGCCCTTTTCCTTCGGATGATTTATAAGTCTCCAAAGACAACTGTTTACTTTGTGGGCTGGGGGATTTTGGCTTTAAGAAATTGTAGATTTTCAAAAAGTATTGCATAAAACTTACTGTTGTTGTTGACTCAGTTCAACAACAACAAAAAACCTGAGATTCAGAGGCAAAAATACAAACTCACTCTACCTTGTGAGTTTGTGTTTATCACATATATTTCACTTATCAAATGCTGATTGAGCAATTTCATGTGATGTATTCAGCCCTAAACATGAACAAACTAGTTCAAGTTGAATTGTCGTTCAATACAAAATACTAGAACAACACTTTAGGGAAACATTGACGTAGATAGAGTTTATGTGTAAAGATCTTAGTAGTTTAGAGACCACAATGTGTGTACCATCAAAGTAAACTGCAGCATCTACAGGCGCTGGAATCCCAGGCCACTCTTCCTCTATGAGCGATGGTGGGTACTCCATTACTTCTGCCTGTTCGTTGTACCTGGACAAAAGAATTAAATCGTCATAGTAAAAAAAAAACAGTTATTATCAGGGATACCCCAGTAGTGGCAATTACAGATACTGATACTTAATACTTTTGAGTTTTTTTTAATCCATCCATCCATCCATTTTCTTCCCCTTAATCCATTTCTGGGTCAGGGGGGTGGCCAGAGATGCCACCCAGTCAACAGAGCACCAGCCCCTCACTGATCCTCCTGCAGGTGGTGAGTCCACAGGAGCTGAGATCTTTCAGTGGGGGCTTCAGGCAAAGTGGGGTTAAGTGTCTTGCCTAAGGATATAACGACAGCAGTCATCAGTGGGAGTCGTGAAGTAGGTCTTACGGTGGGCTTGAACCCACGACCTTCAGGCTCAAAGACCAATGCTCTACCAACTGAGCTACTGTCGCCCCGAGTTTGTGTTAAGTTTTCATGAAATAAGCCCAATTCAGATAGCCATATTATAGTCCTCATTATTTTATTTAGGTGAAAAATAGAAAATTATATTTCAAAATCACAGACAATCACAGTCATTATTTTCACTTATACAGATCTGTTTTAGCCTTTGTTTCTATCATATTTATCAAATGAGCTCTGTAAAAAGTACGTTATAGATGGAGCTGACTAACTGGGTGCTGATGTCACCCGTCTTTGCCAAATGAGGAAGAAGCCAATTTGATAAACATACATTTTGACAAGTTTAGAGCCAATTCCTTATATGGGCATTTATTACGACCTGTTAGCGAGCGAGTTAGCAGATGCCTTCCCATGCACACAGCTTCTTAATACTCATAAACTTGCAGTAAAGGCTCTGTAAAGATATTGTAAGTGACTCTTTAGTGTTATACCACATGTGTGTTACCATTTCACACATGTTTTGTGGGCTTTGGTTTCTTTATGAATTAACCGGGACCTTGATGTTCCAAGCAATCTCCAACTACTATTTGCCTCTTTCTCTCTCATCATTCACATGTTTAAGTTCCGTCAGCCGTAACTTTAGCAACACTCGCTGCCACACTTTCTGATACTCAAAAAAGGCCAAGATTGGTGGCCCATACTGATTGTTTTCCTGATTTTTACCTTACCATCGTGGTGGGATGTAACATATGTGTCTTTGTCAGTTTTACTGTGGTCAAGTGCAATAGTGAAATGAACCAACTTTAAAAAAAAATTCCAACGTACCTCCAGCACTCGTGTCCGGTGAAGAACACAGTCAGTCGCTCAAAGCGGAAGTGAAGAGCAGCGTCCACGGATCTGATTCTTGCGGGAAAGCCAAAGTCTGTGATGTTTTTGGGAAAACCTTCCAACAGCTGCAACTGAGTCAGCTTCCAATACTGATCACCTGAAGAGAAATGGGATTCTCGGCTTTTGTTAAAATGATCTTTTTTCATGAGAATGCTAAAGATGCTGTTGGACTTTTCTCATGAAATACATTTTTAGAAACCTACATGCACAATGTCGAGTGGTGTTTTCACTGTAGTCTTTTGAATAATGTAGTCTGTGTTAATAAATGTATGTATTTGTATACTCTCATGATTTTGTTTTACTATGATTATTTCATTTTAGATGGTGATCTTTAGACCTAGCTTCAGCCTCACCTTTAAAAAAAATATTGACATTTCTGTCTATGTTCATGTAGACTGCATCCAGGTGCGAGGGTATGCTTTCTGGCCACAAACTGCTCATCAAAGAAATGCGGGTTTCATCAAATTGTGGATGTCTGCGCCACATGAACCTGAAAAAGCACGACTGTTAAAGTTTGTATTGTTTTTGAATCAGAGCCATGTGGTTAATACACACTGCACACACCTGCCTTTGAAGAAGAGCACTTCTTGCTGTAATTCTGTTACAGCGTCAAAAGATAGGTTTGGATCACATTTGTCAGGGGTTTTAGGCGGAGGCTTTTTGGAGAATATTGAGTCAAAATTTGAACTGATGCCTGTGAAAACAATTTGAGGAAATAACATTGTTATTGTGCCTATTAAAATAAACTGCCTTTTGTTACTGAAAGATCAAATGAAAAGTAAAAAGTTTGTTTTTGAGAGCATTCATTATTTCACTGATTGAGATGAACAGAGGAACCTCACCATACAAGTGTTGAACATCTTTGACGTCCCGAAACGAGAGCTCCAGCTGATTGTTGGAGGCAAAGTTGTATGAAGGAAACATGACAGCACCAGGATCTGACGAGTGCGACAGGCCAATGGCATGGCCAAACTCATGCACGGCCACAGCAAAGAGATTGTAGCCTAAAATAAAACTATTAAAGATCAGTCTGTTTCATTGATGTTTACTCCCAGCTCTACCTGTGGAGTTCATGCTCCATTCTTCATCTGCATCAAAGTGCACATCTCCACCCACCCCAACACCAGGTAAGAAGGCATGGGCCAAGATTCCCAGTTTACCGTCAAATGGGGAGCCGTCATTGTGGTCTGCAACACAGAACATTATAGTGACAAAGAACGACAGATTATTCAAGCTGCACTGAGTTTTAGCCATGGATCTATTTTATCACTTGAGTATTTTTCAGACCTTCCAATTACGAACCAGACACACTGGCTCTCCCATAACAAATACAACATACCGAGTTATCTGCCGGATAATGTAGCAATATTTACCTCCTCTGTAGAAAGAGATGACAATGTCGGCTTCTCTTCTGCCACGCTTCTGAAAGTGCATAGGTGTTACATTGGACCACATCTTCCAGGCTGCTCTGAAGACTTTACGGATTTGGGAGAAAGGGATGGGCATCTTTCCGCCATCTATTCTGAAAGCAGGGAGAAAAGACTGTTTCCTTACTCCAACTTTTTATTCTGAGATTGTCCTGTATTTCCTGATTGTCCCATCCATCCACCTTCCCGTTCAATCTCACACTCTTTCATGTCCATGCTTCAATAATCTTCAACATGTTCAAAGTGTCCCTGCTTTGCTTCTTGCGGCTATCCATTTACCACTCATTTAAAAAGGCCAGATTTGTGTAGTGCATGGCTATTATTTGCCCCCTGGTGAGCTGTAGGTACCTGCAGCTCCTCCAGAATCTTCTGTGATCAGTGCTGTCCTTGTTCGAGCTGTGAGTTCAAGAACCCTTCTTTTAATAACAAAATTATATGGCCTTCACGTTACAATGGCCTCCAGAGAGAGACACCTTGTGTCAATAACTAACAAAGACTAACAGACTAACAAGACTGACAAATAGGTGAACTCGGGCAGGACCTGTTTGATTGGAGGGTATTGAATCACTTCTCTGGGATTCATTTATTTCTTCCTTTAATCAAAAAAATAATGAATCAGTTTTATATAATGCTTTTTTGTACCCTCAAAGACGCTTCACATGTCAATATTCTTTCACTCCAAACACTGTGGTGATAAACGACTACTGTAGCCACAGTTGCCCTGGGGCACACTGACAGAAGCGAGGCAACCAGTCTGTACCATCGGCCAGTCCCACCACCACCACCAACCATTCAGAGTCTTGCGTAAAGGTTTGACACTTTTCAGGGACAGCCGCCCAACTGTGGCACCTGGTTCTCCCAGAGGTCTCCCATCACCGTACTAACCAATCCTGCTTAGCTTCAGAGGTCTGATGGGTCGGGCTTTTCACATGCAGGAATGTGAAAGCCATTGTCTTGGTGACTACTTTTGAAACAATTTTTAGGTTCATACGTTACATTTTTTGGGGCGACAGTGGCTCAGTTGGTAGAGCATTGGCCTTTGGGCCTGAAGGTTGTGGGTTCAAGCCCACCGTAAGACCTACTTCGCAACTCCCACTAAAGACTGCTGTCGTTGTGTCCTTGGGCAAGACACTTAACCCCACTTTGCCCGAAGCCCCCACTGAAAGATCTCAGCTCCTGTGGACTCACTACCTGCAGGAGGATCAGTGAGGGGCTGGTGCTATGTGTACTGGGTTTAGCTCTGACTGCCACCCCCCGACCCAGAAATGGATTAAGGGGAAGAAAATGGATGTATGGATGGACGTTAATTTTAAAAAACAAAATGTATTTGTAGTTTTTTTGTTTAGAATTAGACAAGAATGTGAAAGAATGCCATGAAATGAATCCTAGTACCTATAGCTGAGTTTGCTTTTCGTCCACCTCATCGTCCCTCCAATCGGCTCCGCATCCGACAGGCCGCAGCGAGGCTTCTTCATCACAGCCAGCGTGTCCTTGCCCAGCTCTCCTGTGGGGGGCAGTCCAAAAAACCTCTGCATTTGTTTTATTTTCTCACAAAGCCCTGAGGAAAAATCATCATCCACTTCATTCTGCGTGCTCCGTCTGGGCCTCCTGTCCACAGGTCGGTATCCATAGAAGTGCATCAGATACTCCTGTGCACACAAATGATACGTTGTGTGTATAAAAGCAAACATCAGCTGGCCAAGTCCCCGCACAAGACATTCCACGCATTTTCTGTTAGGTTTAATGACAGCATTTGGATGGTGTGTGTGCGTGTGTGTGTGTTTGTGTGTATGTATGTGTGTGCATGCGTGTGTGTGTGTAATTATTATCTACGGCCTCTTGTAATATCATGTTCTTGCACATCTTATTGCTGACATGGAACAACTACATGAGCAAATCTAATTATACCATAAATCTCACACAAAAACAATAATGAAAAAAAAAAACATTAAGCTACGAATATACTGTTTTCCAAAAAAACATGTGACCAAAGACTTAAAGTTTCATATGACCAGAGAATATAAACTACTACTTTTAAAATCTGGCAGTCTCATATAAACATAGTATTTATCCGAGTGTTCAAAGTGGAAGTGGATAACTGGCAGACATGTGTTTTGACAAAAGTGAAATAATTTGAGTTGATTATCATCATTCACTAATTAAAGCTGCAGGTACCAAACTCAAACCCAAAAACATGTACAGTGTGAGCAAATAAGTCTCAATACTGTTTGGTTCCGTCACATCTTTAGATCAGCTGTTTTATTTTATTTTTTATTTTTTATTTATTATTTTTTTAGACCAACCTCACTTAACCAATCCGCTTTCAGCCCGGAGCTGCTTCTAAGTATGCAGAAGGTAAAATGTTTCCTGATAAGAGGAAGGCAGCTTCATGTTGTGGTCAGACAAAATGTTTCTATTGCATGACTTTTTCTGTGGGGGATGACAAAATGTAATCGACTAATTTCTCTATAAAACAATTATTGAATGCCTATTTTATTAGTAAATTAGTTCATACATCTAAAGTATTAAATGAATACAATTTGGTGACCCTTTGGAAGCAGTTAAATACTAAAATTGCAGAATGTTAAAGCAAGATTGGGACATTCTAGACGGGAAAAGACAAAAAGCCCCAAATTGACATTGTCCTTATAATGCAAATCTTGAAATAATTTGCAGCACTTAGTCCACCACGCCATGAATCAACAACAACCTTTTAGGAGCGCCATAAAAGTGTCCCATTTGTCTATGCATACCTCTGCAAAAGCCCTCTCCTCCTCAGACAGAGCAGGACGGTGAGGTTTCGGTGAAGATGGAGCAAGGACGGGTGCGGGTTCCACCAGATGTTGCCAGCAGCAGCAGCAGCAGCAGCAGCAGAAGGCCAGAGCAAAGAGGTGCATGTCGATCATCCAGGTGACACACTTCACTGTGCGCTGGGGTTGTATGCAAAGCAGCACTTGGGGACCACCTGTTTATTATCCCTGAGACGTCCTGCCCCAACAAGAACCAAAAAAGTGGCTTCGCATCGCAACGTTTTCTTCTTTTCTCCAATAAACAGACTTGATACGATATTGATGTAAATCTTGTAGACCACAAATATTTTAAAATGCTGCTGTTTTTTGTCGGATTTGATTGTATGTTCACAAGAAATTGGCGTTTAAACATGCAGTAATATATATGTTTGCGTCATAATTATAGTGTGTGCCGTGATGACAGAGCTATGCATCTACATCTGTGTGTTTTTGGCATGTCATGAAGTGCCAGACTATCAGATAACTCAGAGAATTCTAAAATTAAGCACAGAAGCAAAAGTCCTGGAGGGCCTTTGTGGTTTGGGTTAAAGTGACTTTTAGGAATAATGATTGATGAGTTCTGGCTGATTACAATCCAAATCAATCAGATATGTGTTTTACGAGATATTACAAAAAAGATGGTGAACTTTGATGTTTACACCTTTTGGATTTTAATATACACACATTAAGTTTTGCTGATGTGCTTTAGCCCACCCATGGTCAAAGTGTCTCATTCCTTGATCATAAATGAGATGATAAGGTTAGACTTAGACGGATCTAATCTCACAGTTCACCCATGAGCTTTGGAGATGTGAGCGTCTCTCTTTAATTACAAGTTTCATTCTGCAAGTAATCACCTGACATACTTTGTGCTCCAAAATTATATTTTTAAGTAGGGGAAATGAGTTGCCTACAATATATCCTAAAATACGTTTTCATATGTCAAATCATATGGGAAAATCCCTTCATTAGTTATTACACACTGTCTGTTTTTGGAAAGCACACAAACAATTCAATTCAATTCAATTCAATACTTTATTTCGGACACAAGAGTAAAAGGTCCATATAACAACAAGAAAAACAAAAAGACACATAAAAACATGTACAAGTTAAACACATTCACACAGGTCGAGGACAGCAAAGTAATTCGTTCAAAATACGGTGGTTAAAATAAAATTCAAAAGATGACTTGATGTTATTAATTATAACAGAAGACCATCTCATTTTAAGGCCTGCCTTATAAATGCATCGACCTCATACAGACCAGGTTCGGTGGGTAGTGACATCTCAGTGCATCTCGGGATGTGACCTCACAAAGAACCTGTGTTTTTAATGCATTCAACACAAGTATACACATGACCTATAAGTAATGGAATAATGCAATAATCATATTGACAAAGTTAAACCAACAATAATAACAACATTCAGTGATAGTACATGGCTCTGAAGTATGTTTTGTTTGTGTCCCTTATTGTGTTGTCTGTTGATTATTGTCTACTGTGTTATATGTCTATTATTGTCATTGATATTATTGGTTATTGTTATAGTACGGTATTTAAATTATATTCTAGTAGATACAAAATTATTAAGCTGATTGATATTGAATCATAATTTCACTATATAATAACATAATATAAAAGTGAGGGATTATTTGACTATAGCACAAATATACATACATATACATGCATATAAACAGATAGATAGGTAGATAGATACTTTATTGTTCCACCGTAGGAGAAATTTAGGATAAATGACGTAATATGTAGAAGGAAATGTGTATATAAAAATACTGCTGGTTTTGCTTTTGTTATATTTCCCTGTAAATGGCGACAACCATATATTTAAGGATTTATTGGGGGTGGGAGTAAATAAGCTTGTCTTCATCCCACTCCCTTCCAAGCTGTTTTTTTTTCTCTCTCTAATGATGTGTTAATATTGTATAGCATCATATATTTCTTTTTATCTTGTGTTGTATTGTACTGGCTCGGAATAAACTTAACTAAACTAAACTAATTATGTTGGTTCACACGTTGGTGGATCTCTCCTTATCGGTGTGGAGATCAGTGCCTCTCAAAAGTATTTATGCAGCTTCAACTTTTGCAGATGATGTCAAGTTTACAACAAAAAATATTAAGATTTTAGTTGGATTGGACGTTCACACACGAGTAGCAGACAACTGGGAAGTGAAAGGAAAAGGATGCATGATTCTGTTATTATGTTGAAGATAGAACAAGTATTCATACAGATTTTCTCTGAGTGCATTAAATTGCCTTTAAACATTTCTAATGACTGCAGAATGTTCGCACCTTGTCCTAATGATTAAATAGAGGCCTCATGTGTGCAATCTACTCTCAGTATAAATACAGATGTTCTGTGAGGGACCTCAGAGCTAAAGTGAGGCCAAGGAGCACACTAGAGAGGTCAGGGATAAAGTTGAGAACAAGACTAAAGTAGTGGTAAGTTATACCAAGATTAACCAACATTGGCACCACTGTAAACATACAAAGACAGGGCCGTCAGCCTAAACTAACAGATCGAACAAGGAGAGCACAGGTCCGAGAGGAAACCCAGTGCCCCAAGATGACTTTGGAGGGACTGGGGGAATCTGTATACGGGACAACTATCAGTCTCAACACAAATCTGGCCTTTATGGACAAACGGCAGAAAGAAAGCCATCATTGAAATGAGGCTATAAGAAATCCTGTTTGAAGTTTGCCAGAAGTCATATTGGGGGCACGCCAACCATGTGGAAGAAGAAGATTTGGTCGGATGAGACAATAATCTAACTTTTTGGCCCAAACGCAAAATGTTATGTATGCCGCAAACCCAACAATGCGCACCACACCATCCCCAGAGTCAAACATGATGAGGGGAGAATCATGCTATGGATGGAAAGCCTGCTTGAGTCAGTGAGAGAATTATAGCTGGGGCTGAATCTACAGATGAATGGTTTAAAACAAAGTCCAGATCTTAATCCAATAGAAAATATGTGGAAAGACCTGAAAACTGCTGTTCAGAAACGCTCTCCATCCAATTTATCAGAGCTTGAGTGGTTTTGTAAAGAAGAATGGGCTAAACTTTCTTTCTCTAAATGTGCAAATCTTGTAGAGTCATACCCATCTTGCTGCTGTGATCGCAGCATTCGGGGTTCCACAAAGTATGCTGTATGAATACTTGTGCAGGCCCAACTTTCTGGTTTTCATCAAATAAAAATGTATCAATATGTTTTTGGTTGTAAAAATCATAAAGTTCCAGCAGTAAACGTACTTCTTGTAGCTACTTTCTTTTTGTAACCTCTATATATATTTATTGTTGTCCTGTAGGTCTACGAAAGCGCTTCTTACTATACCACAACATGCTCCAACACACACCCATGGTCAATGATGGAAGAATGCTTTGTAAACTAAACTAAACCAGTAGATTAAAATGAATTTGGACGTAATTCGGACGCATCTGAGATTTAATCCTTTACGAAGCTGCTCACGTATACAGTACTTTCTAATTGAGTCTTGAGAAATCCTGTATTCTTCTGCGTTCACGTCTTAAAGGCTCTGAAACAGTTTACATTCAAGTTTTTACTTTCCACCTATCCCCGCCCACGTTGACTGTATGAACTGACAGGAGTTTTTGATTTATTTTAATTTAAGTGACCATGTTGTATTATGAACATGAGGTGAATACTGGACTGAAATGAGTATAAAAGATTGCATTATTTCAACAGTAATATTCCACCGTAGGTCAGGGCGTGTCATTGGGATTTGGAATCAAGTATACACTGTGCAATCTAGGTTCAGTTGTAGTATTTGTGTATGTGAGTGACGTCCATCGTAAAAGATTTGTCATAAAGTTGCCCTCTATCCCAGTTGGTGTAATCCTAGAGTTCCCGGCTTGACTCATCGCCGCACGTCTGACTGAAGCCAAAACACCTACTTAAACACAAGCGTTTGAAAGCTGACAAACTGTTAGAACTATAAAAAACACACTTAAATATAATCATGCACAATTACAAACACACCAGTACGTCAGGCTATGTATGTAAGCAATATGTGTCTGAATGTTTCTTTATTTTTGCAATTTGTATACACAGACTGCCTCCAAAACACAAGTATATGGTTTACCAAGTGTTGAAAACAGCTGGGTGCGTGCCAGATATGTCAGAGCGAGGGAGATTTTTAAGTGTGTTATTATGAAATGGAAGCGTTTGTTTAGGGATGTGTCAAGTCATGTACGTTTGTAAAAAGGACTGATTTGCATATTTGCAATGGCTCAAATGTGATTTAGTGTATACTTTTCAATCATCGTACTGTGACAAGAATGTGACGTTATATCCTTCCAATCTCTTCTTGGTCCAAACTTGTTTTCATGTTGCAATGATTTTTATCATATTGGCATTCAAGTACATTGTGTTGCTTGAGCTTGTTTACAAAAATCCTAATATGATTTCTAGAATTATGCAATGCGTTGATAGCGTGTGTATCGACTGTTCCAAATAATTTCAGAGAATTGCTCCTGGTGTCACAACAATTTGGACATTAGAAAGGACTACATTGCAGGTTGTGGTTTGCATTACAAACATCAATAGTTCCTCTTGTTGGGTTCCTCAAAGACATTGTTAGGTAACTGATTAACTCAATGTTTATTTCAGCATTAATGTTATCGGCTACTGAAAGAGAAAAACAAGAAAGAATTCATGAGCACTTTTATGATGAGCTGGGAGCGCCGCACCTCGAGTGGATACTATCACTGAAGCTGGATACTAGAGTCCAGAGACACTGTGTTTTTTATGACCACAACAGCACATGTGAGTGTTTATCAGTGAGCCTACCCCAGGTCCAGGATTCAGTTGATACTAAACAAAACAGTCTGGACTCATGAGCCACACCCAGAGATAAAGCTGAGGCTCAAAACCTTCACCAAGTCCATGAGCCAGACCCCCACAGCCGACCACTCAGTACAGCAGCCTCCTCCAGAGGTATCACTGAAGATACTAATAAAAATGTATTATGAGTCAAAGGCAAATATTAAAAGATGTGCAAAAAAGAAAAAAAGAACAAAATATGCCTACGCGTTTCGACCAACAGCGGTCTTCGTCAGGGCATAAATAATCA